AGGGGAAGACAGAATATTTGAAGGAAAAAAAACGACAGAAATTTTATGAAGGATATGAATATAAACATCCAAGAAGCTCAATGAATGTCAAACAAGATGAATACAAAGACGCCCACACCAAGACAAATTATAATCAAACTGTCAAAAGACAGGACAAAGAAAGAAGTTTGAAAGCAGCAAAAAAGAAGTGACTTATCATATTCAAGAGATCCTTAATAAGATTATCAGCAGATTTCTCATCAGAAACTTTAGAGGCTAGATGGCAATGGATTTATATAGTTAAAAAGCTAAGAGAGAAAAAACGTGCCAACTAATAATCCTATATCTGACAAAACTGTCTTTCAAAAGTGAAGAAGAAATCAAGACATTCCCAGGTAAACAAAAACAGAGAATTCGTTTCCACTAGACTTGCCCAGTAAGAATTGCTATAGGAGGTTCTGTAGGTTGACAGGAAAGATTAGAAAGTAGCTAGAAGCCATGTGAAGAAATGAAGATCAGAATTAAGTTAAATACAAGGGCAATTAGAAAACTACTATTATTATACATTTGGTTTGTAATTCTAAATGTTTCTACATACTTTAAGAGACTAATCCATGAAAAGTATTAGTTTATGTTTTCAACACAAATGTATAAAAATATAATTTGGTGACATCAATGACTGAAAGGAATGCAGCAATGCTTTAAAGTGGCAGATATTTGGGGTATTACTAAAGTTAAGATTATATAAATTCAAATTAGAATGCTATAATTTTAGGATGTTAAATATAATCCCTGTGGTAATCATAAAGAAAGGGAATTAAATTGTTTCACAAAAAAATTAACTAAACACAAAAGAATACAGTAATACAATGAATAAGACCAAAAAAAAAAAAAAAAGCTGCAGGATATACAGAAAACAAATAATAGGTCACTTCTCATAAGTAAATACTTTAAATATAAATGGGCAAATGACAGATTTGAAGAACAGATTAAAAATAATAAATGATACAAACATATGTTGTCTCTAAGAAATTCATTTTACATCCAAAGACACTAACAGATTGAAAGTAAAATGATGGGAAAATATCATCTCCCCCCAGCTGGCCAGCCTCCCAGGGCCCCTCTCCCACTCCGGCTGGCCCCTCAATAGGCCTTGATCGTCAGCCAGGTAGAGGGACCCCACCCATGCATGAATTTGTGCACTGGGCCTCCAGTTTACACATATAATAACAGACCATCAAAATATAAAGGAAAAATTGACGGAATTGAAGTGAAAAAATATAGTTATTTAGTAAATAGAGGCCCAGTGCAGAATTTGTTCTTGGGTGGGGTCCAGGCCAGCTGGGGGGAGGGGCTGCAGGCGACTGGCCAGCGGGTCCTGCCCCCAATTAGAATGGGGGGTGCCAATTGGGAGTGGGGCCAGCTGAGGGGAGGGGCTGCGGGCCAACTGGCCCCACCCCCTATTGGGATAGGGGGCATTCAGGAGCGGGGCCAGCCAGGGAGAGGGGCTGTGGGAGGTTGGCAGGCCAGTACCACCCCCAAATCAGCCCGTTTCCTGGCTGCAGTGGGTGTCATGGCAACCAGTCATTCTTGACACATTCTGTGTTCAATCCCAGGCGGCCTTCTTGACACCAATGAAACAAGAAAGAGAGATTTGATGGATTTAAAGACACAAAACAAACTAGAATAACTTTAAAAATCTTGTCAAAAATTGTGAAGTAGCAAAAACGAGCTAAATATTTAGGTTTCAGAAGGAACATCAAGAAATGATGTAAAATTGAACAGCCAGTCACATACTGTGGAGAGAACGTGGAAGAGAAATTGCGGGCTATTGCTTCTCATTAAAAGCCTCTTGGTAATACCTTATCCATCTATGTTTTGGGGGTGTTACATTGATAAAAAGTTTAAATGCATGTTGCTGAGACATAATAACTGAGTGAACAAAAAAAATTACTTTTGGACTATAAGATGGTATAATTTAGCTAAATTTTAACTTTAGATTTTTTTAAATGTTTTTTGTTTGTTTTATTTGTTTTGTTGTTGCTGCTGTGTTTTTTTGGTTTTTTTTTGAGAGAGAGAGAGAGAGAGAAAGAGAGAGAGAGAGAGAGAGAGAGAGAGAGGTGAAGGGAGGAGAGAGAGAAACATTGCTGGGAGAGAAACATCATTAATCAGTGGCCTCCTACACGTCTCCTATTGGGGATCAAGCCCACAACCTGGGCATGTGACTTGACCAGAATCAAACTGTGACTTCTTGGTTCATGGGGTTAACACTCAACCACTGAGCCACACTGGTCAGGCTAACTTTTTATTTTTTTAAAATACCTTAAAATTTCAACAATTATATTCTCATTGAATTGCTTAGGTATTTTCTCTGGATAAAAATAAGTGTATTAACAGACAGCCTATGCACATGGAAAGAAGTTGACTGATGCTGTTTAGAAAAGCCTAGCTTGTGATTCTGTCTGATGATTCTTGCTACCCCACATTACCTTCTTGGGCTCTCAATTCCTAAAAGAGCTCGAGGTTAATTTATGAATTCACTTGTCTAATGCTTGTTGAATACCTACTATGTGCCAGGAACAAAACAAATTCTAGAAAAACCAAAAAATCTTGTCAAAAATTGTGAAGTGGCAAAAATGAGCTAACTGTAGGTGCCAGGGACAGTGCAGTGAGGAAAACCGCTAGCTTCATGGCGATTACAGTCCAGGTTGGGGGTGAGGAGTAACTAATAAGCAAACTAGCAAGTAAAGAAGTGTTTGTGTGTGATACGTGCTTGAGAGAGAAAATAAACCTGGGTGAAGAAATAGCAGATATTGCCAAAACCGGTTTGGCTCAGTGGATAGAGTATCGGCCTGAGGACTGAAAGGTCCCGGGTTCGATTCCGGTCAAGGGCATGTACCGTGGTTGCAGGCACATCCCCAGTAGGGGTGGTGCAAGAGGCAGCTGGTTGATGATTCTCTCTCATCAATGTTTCTAACTCTCTACCCCTCTCTCTTCCTCTCTCAAAAAAAAATCAATAAAAGAAAAAAGAAATAGGGGATATCCAGGGGATTCTACTTGAGATGAAATGGTTAAAAGGCATGGACTGGGTTGTCTTGTGTGGAGTAAATCTAGCTCACTGGAATGGGTGAATATAACCCTGTAATCTTGGCACCCAAACCAGATGAGCACACACAAATGACAGCAGCAAACACAATGAAGACACTTCACTTAGGAACAGTGACTGAAGAATCTTAAAAAAATTAGGTGCCCAAATCCCACAATGCACTTCACAATTCCTACGTCAAGACCGAAAGGGTTCATGCCAAAACATAACATCAGAAACATCTACCTATGTTAATGGACTTAAGAAAAAAAATCACAGAATTATCTCAAAAGACACTGACGAAGCATTTGATAAAGTTCAATATCTACACTTGATAAAAGTATTGTACTTAGGTAATTAATATGCATCAATTCCAATAGAGCAGAGGCTTATTCTTTTAACTGGTTCATGAACATATCCCAGATGATAAAAACAATGCCTAGATTTAGTAGCCATTAGGTACACAGTTGCTTAGCGAATAAACAACAAAAGGAAGGAAGAAACGAAGGGAGGGAGGGAGGGAAGAAGGAAGGGAAGTTCTTCAGGCTGACAAGGGCAGTCTACCCAAAACTCACATCATCCTGAATGGAAAACCTCAAACACTGCAACAAGACAAGGGCGCCCTCTCCTGGCCATTGCATGGTGGAGTTAGAACACTGTCAGGGATTGGAAGGCAGGCAACAAAACTGTCAGTGTTTGCACTCCCTGCACAGTAACTGTTGAGAAAAAGGAACCAAAAATCACATACCACTTACAACAGGAACTAGAATGAGACACTAGGAAGTAACCTAACACAGGAAACAGAAGAGCTTTCTGAAGATGTGATGACTTAATATTGAAAAATGTCAGCTTTCCCCAAATTAATCTATAAATTCAATGCAAATCTTACCAAAATCTCACTCTAGCATCCCCCCCACTCCTTGATAAAGTGAATCTAAAATCTGAACAAAGCCAAAACCTTTGGCTCAGTGGTTAGAGTGTCGGCCTGTGGACTGAAAGGTCCTGGGTTCGATTCTGGTCAAGGGCATGTACATTGGTACGAGCACATCCCCGATAGAGTCTGTGCAGGAGGCAGCTGGTCGATGTTTCTCTCTCATCGATATTTCTAGCTCTCTATCCCTCTCCCTTCCTCTCTGTAAAAACTCAATAATATATATATATTTTTTAAAATCTGAACAAAGAAGAATGAGGATCTGAGAATAGGTAAGGCAACTTATCAACAAGAGAATCAAGAGGAAGGACTCACCCCACCAGAGGTTAGGACAGTTTCAAAGCCGTAATGACTAGCACAGCTGGCATTTATATGAAAAACACTAAGCAAGGAGGTCACTAGGACAGAGCTGGTGGTGCAGAAACAGCCAGGACACAGAGACTCCATGCTAATAGGCAGGGCATCAGCACTGCAGGGAAAAGGTGAATTATTTGGCAAATGGGACCAAAAAGATTGGCTCACTACATGCAGATATTTAAAACGTTGGGTCTCTATCTGAAATCATCTTCAAAAATAATTTCAGGCCCGGCCAGCGTGGCTCAGTGGTTGAGCACTGACCTGTGAACCAGGAGCACCCCATGCAGCTGAAGACTGAGCCTGCATCCCTGCCTCCCAGTGAAAAGTGCAACATGCCTAACCACTGCTCAGCTAACTCCGCCTGCTTCTCTGTTTTCTCCCAGCCAGCCTGGAACTCAGCCCATGGTTAGTTCACATAATTCCGCCTATTAACTGTGCAGGGTGAAGTCGAATGTGCCGGCTGGACGATGGGACAGCAGTGAGACCACAGAGGCTGGCGCTGCCGCGCTGCGCCAATGAGCTTGTTCTCACCAGCACTACCTCTCGGTGGGGGCCACGGCCCGGGCCTGGCTCTGGCTCCTGCAGGGCGGCCATGGGGCCCCGCAGCGCCTGAGGGTGGGGGAGGAGAAGCAGCCGCCCTGTGCTCACCGTGCCTTCCGGGTCCACGAGCAGCAGGTGCTTGGCCTGGCCGTCGTGCATGCCGGTGAGCACAAAGGAGCCCGGGTTGGTGGTGCTCTTCCTGACCAGGAAGTCTCCATCTCTCTTCAGCAGCCCCTCCGCCTCCTTCCTGCTCATCTGGCCTTGGTACCACAGCTCGGCTTTCAGCTCCTCCAGCATCCTGGCGTCCGGGGCTCTGGGTGAGAGGGGGCTGATGCACTCCACGGAGGCTGCCTTGCTCAGCACGGGCCCTGCGGGCTGGTTCTTGAGAGCATCTTCAAAAGGTTCTGCCATAGCGTTTGCCAGTAGCAGGTGCACCCAGGAAGAGCAAATAATAAACAATAAACGTGAGGGGTGAGAGTGCAAAGGCAGCGCTGCCAGATGGACGAACTAGGGACAAATGACAGCTGGTAATATAATGAGACGAGTCACAAGCATTGGAAAGTACAGCTCAAATCTTGGCCTGAGTCCTGATAAGCCTCTTTCCTGAGGCAGCGGGCACTGTGCCTTGTGCCAAGGACCCAAGCACACCGGGTCCAGCTGGTCCGGATGCCTTCAGTTTTGCCCGCCATAGGAGGCCGTGCATATTACATGCCATCTACTCCCTCTGGAATGTTGGCTAGCCTCTAACAAACATGCTCTCCTCTGAACAGAAACCTACCAAACCAAAGGAAGAGAAAGACAATTTGCAAGATTTTCGGGTGAATTCTTAAAGAAAATAAAACTGACATCTAATTGGGTGCCTGTTGTGTGACTTGCCCAGGCCTGGTGCCTGCCTTCCCTCGGCCTTCACTGTCCCTGAGGGAGAGGTTCTGGTGTGAGTGTCTGGAGGAGCCTGACCGCAGGCCCTTGGAGCCAGCCTCGCACCGCAGGGCACTGTCCATGGCACGGCATCTGCTCTGATACCAACAGACACAGCAGCAAGCAGGTCAGAGGGGCCTCAGCAAACCTCAGGCTTTGATTTTCAAATAAATAATTGTGCAAAAGCACTCTGGAAAAAGGAGGGGCAAGCCCACGAACGTGGTGTCAGAATGCCTATTGGGGACACACTGCCAACCCAGTCATCACCACCACCACCACCACCACCATCACCATTATCCTACCATTATCACCATTTATCATCACCACCACCACCATCAACATTATCCTACCATTATCACCATTTATCATCACCACTACCACCATCAACATTATCCTACTATTATCACCATTTATCATCACCACCACCAACACCATCACCATTATCATACCATTATCACCACTTATCATCACCATCACCACTATCACCATTATCCTACTATTATCACCATTTATCTTCACCACCACAACCACAATCAGCATTATCATACTATTATCACCATTTAACATCACCATCACCACAATCATCATTATCCTACTATTATCATTATTTATCATCACAACCACCACCATCACCACCACCATTATCCTACTATTATCACCATTTAGCATCATCACCACCACCACCACCATTATCCTACTATTATCACCATTTATCATAACCACTACCACCATCACTATTATCCTACTATTATCATCATTTAGCATCATCACCACCACCACCACCATCACCATTATCCTACTATTATCATCATTTATCATCACTACCACCACCACCATCACCATTATCCTACTGTATTCACCATTTACCATCATCACCACCACCACCATCACCATTATCCTACTATTATAACCATTTATCATCACCATCACCATTATCCTACTATTGTTACCATTTAGTATCAACATCACCACAATCATTACCATTATCCTACTATTATCACCAGTTAGCATCACCACCACCACCACTATCACCATTATCCTACTATTATCTCCACTTATCATCACTACCACCACCACCACCATCACCATTATCCTACTGTATTCACCATTTACCATCATCACCACCACCACCATCACCATTATCCTTCTATTATAACCATTTATCATCACCATCATCATTATCCTACTATTGTCACCATTTAGTATCAACATCACCACCATCACCATTATCCTAACATTATCATTATTTATCATCACCACCACCACAATCACCATTATCCTAACATTATCATCATTTATCATCACCACCACCACCACCACCACCATCACCATTATCCTACTATTATCACCATTTATCATCAACACCACCACCACCATCACCAATGTTATTTTGCTGTTGTGGTTAAAAATAAACAACAGAGCACTGCCTTTATTTTTTCATACTTTTCAGTAGATACTTGCCCTCCAGGGCCCTTTCTGCTTTTTTGTTGGGATCAGGAGTAGAAATAGATGGATGAGAACATGTTGGCTCTGGTTCTCATAGTTCTCATCTGGAACTGCAGGCCAATCTAACTCCCAAGACCTGGGGCGAGGAGCCACTGGTGAACTGACCAATGAAACAGGTGCAGCCACTAAACTGCGGGTGTGAGCCCTGCTAACGTTGGAGGGAGCCCAGCGGCTCCTGTGGCTCAGCGTCTGGGGAGAGCCGCCTCACCCCTCCAGGCTGTCCCCACATCACTGAAGTGAAGGGATCGGACCAGGTGACTGCTGAGGTGCCCTCAAGTGAGGTGCCCACTGAGGTTCCACAGTTCTTCTGGCTCCAATCATCTTTGAAAGTCGGAACGGGAGTCCAGAATCTGTGAACCCACAATGGCTGGGAGAGTTAGACTCTGGTTATCATGGTGCTGCCTGGTCATAAAAGCACGCAATCCTTCCTCACTCACACGCAATGTCACGGACAGCAGGGGTCAAGCCGGCAAGGTTGCCTTTACGAGCGGTCAAGTTACTTAACCTCTAGGGTTCTCTGTTCTCTCCTCTGTAAAATAGGATAATAATAGCAATAGTGACAATAATGCAGTCATGTGCCACTGAATGATGGGGACACTTTCTGCCAATGTGTCACTAGGCTATTCTGTCATTGCTGGAATGTCATAGTGTGCACTTACCCGAATGCAGCTGGTACTTTTGTACAATTGGCAGCGCAGTAGTTTGTTTACAACCTACGGCATCACCACAAACACACAGTAATGTGTTGCACTGTGGGATGCCAATAACCTCACTAGGTGACGGGACTTTTTCATCTGCATTGTAGTCTTATGGGGCCGCCATCACAAATACAGCCTGTAGTTGATCCAAATGTCATTCTGCGGCACATGACTGTAGTATGATCTACCTATACTATCATTGCAAAATTAAATTACCGTATTTTTCGGACCATAAGACGCTCCGGACCATAAGACGCACCAGTTTTTAGAGAAGGGAAATGAAGAAAAAAAGATTCTGAAACAAATAGTGTCCTAAAATATTTTATGTGCATTAAAACCCAACATCACAGTCATAAACACATGTAATCAACCCTGTAAAGTAAACAGCAGCATTTAGAACCATTTTAGAGCCGGGCAAGCACACAGAAACCACACAGAGCCGGGCAAGTAAAAAAACTTTTTTTTTACAGTATATGTGTAGGCTATATTTGGACCATAAGACGCAGGGACTTTTTCCCCCCACTTCTGGGGGGGAAAAAGTGCGTCTTATGGTCCGAAAAATACGGTAAATAATAAGTGCATAGCTGTGGTAAAAGTTGTTAAATGCTAATCTCCTCCCCTCTTTAGCTTTTAAATTCTCAAGGAATTTGAAAAAGAAATTTTGGGATATTAAACTCTTTTTTTAAATATATTTTTTTTTATTGATTTCAGAGAGGAAAGAGAAATAGAAACATCCATGATGAGAGAGAACTTTGGATTGGCTGCCTCCTGCAAGTCCCCCACTGGGGATTGAGCCCACAACCTGGGCATGTGCCCTTGACCAGAATCGAACCTGAGACCTTTCAGTTCATAGGCCGGCCGATGCTCTATCCACTGAGTCTAATGGTGGGATATAAAACTCTTGTTAGCTTAGGAAGTTCTTTAAAAATTCCTTAAAAACAGTTTCCACTTCCATAAATCAGTTCATGGATGATTAAATTCTCGCGATGTTTATGACAAACAGAAAGTCTGTGGCACCCCCTTCTCTCCCTTCCCCCCCTCCACGCACTGCACTGCTGTCTGAGTAGCTACCTGCCTCTCTCTGTCTTCGTTTTTATCTGTGCACTTGTTACTAACTGCTAATACATACTGGTGATTTTGGCTCCACAAAAACAGATACTTGGCCTATTGGTTGTTGTGTATATAGGCAAAGTGAGAAGCATGGCATTTGACACATGGTAAGTGTTCAGAAGAGCAGGGAGGAGACTTGTAGTGGTAAAGGAAGAGAGAATAAAAGAAAAATGAGAGGGAAGCATGTGCCTGCATACGAGAGGGTCTGTTGCAATTTCTTGCTCAACAGATTGAGAACCCTGTGAGCACATGGCCATGCATTGCACTTCGGCATCCTTAGCAACGGAGACAACGCTTGGTGCACAATGGCCACTAACATTTAAGAGAATACATAAGTGAGTGTGTTTATTTATGTATACTGTTTGTCTCGATACACGGGAGGTTTTTCAATTGCTAAGTCAGTGCCAAAGGCGGGGAAATGGCTTTGTCTCTGCTCGAAAGGAAGGGATGGATCCCAAAGCAGAGCTGGCCGAAGTCCCAGGCCCGGAAAGCCCAGGCACAGTGGAAAAGTGCAGCAAACTCGGCTTGCAGGAAACTTAGTAGCCGCACCGATTTCCAATAAAGATAGAAAGCAACCTCAAAAGGAAAGAAACCAAGCGAATGGCAACGCACTCATGTCGAAGAGGTCCTTCCTCGGGCTGCTCTCCACACTGCCGCCCGCGCCCCGCCCGGCCCGCCGCGGTCTCCGCTGGGTGTTCACGTAGGTGGGGGCTGCTCCCGCGGGGGCCGCCGGCGCCGTCCCTCCCGGCGTGCTGGCCGTGTCCACGGGCCCTGCAACAGAGAGCGAGCCCGTTCCCTCTGAGGCCAGTGCTGCCCAGGCGTCCACGGCCAAGCCACCGGGCCTCACACAGAGCCCCCCGCCAGCCACAGGACACTCTCCCCGCAGCTCCCCAGCTCAAATCCCTCCTCTGGCCTCACACACTGCTGTGTTCTGGCCTGGACACCTCCACGCCTGTCTGTCGGGTGCCAGCTGTCAGCCCAGGCCAGGCGCACCCAGGGGCCACGCTGCCCCGACACTGGCCGTGCCTGGTGGGTCTGCTCCTCCCTTCACAGAGGGCGGCCCAAGCTCAGACACCTGAGCAGAAGCGCGACAAGCTTCATTTTAATTGTCCTTTTCCCCTTTTAAGTGTGAGGGAATGCTTTGGGAATTAACTCCATCCCAGGAACGCCATGCGGTGCTGCGATCCTGTTTGAGAAAGTCATCGCCTAAGGAAGGGAGCCGAGGTTTTAGGAAACAGCTGCCTCACAGCCCCAGCTCCAGTGAAGGCCCAGCCCCACTGGAGGCCCAGCCCCACCAGAGGCCCAGCCCCACCGGAAGCTCAGCCCCACCGGAGGCCCAGCTCGGGTGTGACTGAGCCCTCGATGCGGGCAGTGCCTGGATGGTACTTCCTACGGGCCCACCGCTGTGCCCACGGCTGTGACTACTGGGCCAGTGTCCCTGCTGTTGGCAACGGAGGAGAGTTGAAGGATGTCGCTTGGTCACACCCGATTGGGTCACTGCCTAATTCTTCCTACAGGACCCCTGTCTCTAGCACATTTACGCATGTGTTCTCAAGATGGCCTTCGGGCGCTCACATCTCCTGAGAGGTCCCCTCCTACCCACTGGGCAGCCAGCCCACCACCAAGTGGGCTCAGGGCTGGAAGAAGTGCCCCCAGAGCCTGCTGTGGCCTCGGCAGCGCATCGCTGTCTGCCTGTGTGCTGGGAATGCACGTGTCCCTCGCTCCCTCCAGGGGAGCGCCTCCAGCCAAGTCTGAGCTGCCCCGTCCGCTCCTGTCTGCACAGGCTCCCACTCCCTGCGGGGCACGTCCTGGTGTAGCGGGCTCTCTGCAGCTCACGTGTGTGTGGGCATTGCAAACAGACCAGCCTGTAAAGAGGACTTTACAAACTAACTTTCAAAAGGAGAAGATGAAAAGCCCAACGAACAGCTTTCCTGACCATGGCCTGTGCTGCTCCCACGGCAGCAGACGCGGAGCCCGGCCCGCGGACATGCACGCCCAGCGGCAACGAAAGTCCATTTCAGGGGAATGACTGCCAGCAAATTAACAAGAAACATTCTGAATTGTTTCGTGAAAAAAGGTATTTGTTGCTTTCAAACGAGAACTTGAAATTTATTAAGAATAACGAGTCTCAAGTTCTAGGCCAGGAACGTACGTGAGGCTGATTTGCCCTGATGAACCTCGGGCATGGTCTGTTCTGATATGGCCAGAGGAATACACAGGAAGAGACCTCATTTTTAAATAAACCTAATATTTTTCAATAAAGCAAATGTCTAATATAAAGAATGTGTCTCCTTACATGTCTAGGTGTATACAAGCTATGTAAATACTTTTTTAAAAACTATCAAGTGAATAATTTTTTTTACTTTTTTTTTGTAAGAGGAGAAGCTTTTTCCAACAAATGTGTCTTTGTTGTTGAGAGTGTTACAGATGTCCCTTTTCCCCCAGCGACCACCTCTGGCCGTCCTTGCCACCCCACCCCCGGGTCCACCGCACTGTAGTCTGTGCCATGGTTAATCTCTGGCTGCCTCCTTCCCTCTGAGATTCTACAGTCTGTTCCACACTCCGGGTCTGTTTTACTCATCAGTTTAGTGTAGTTCATTAGATTCCACATGTGAGTCAGATCATGTGATACTTGTCTTTCTCTGACTGGCTTATTTATTTTAAATGTCTATGGAACAAAGATGAAAACATAAAAAACAAATAAATAAATAAAATAAAAAATAAAAACTTCTGACAAAATTATGACTTGATTTGCTGTTCCCATCCTCTTCTGACACAGAGCTCCGGGGTGGCTTCTGACAGGCGCCACGTTCACCTGGCCACGCCAGCACGACGGGCGTCTCTCAGGGGGGCTCACACAAGGGAATTCTAAAACGTTACTGACATTACACAGGATGAATGGGTCAACCCAACAAGAGGATATAACCCTTGTAAACAATTATGCACCCAAAAATATAAAGCAAATATTTTGTAATCATTATTCCTTATTGGTACCACTTAATGTGAAGAAAACGCACATTTTCCAAAAATATGGAAAAATGTTCCATTTGCCTTATTGGGTCCAAATGTCAGGTTTAAATTATTTTACAATGCAAGCTTTCTTTCATATCTTGGCAGTAGTGATTTCCATTTTTATTCCTTTGGTATCCATAATCTTATTAGAATCAAAAACATATGCCTTGATATCACTGGACAGCTCCTCCTCCAACCCTTTAAAAATGTACAATGAAGGTTATTGCACTGGTAGCTAAATAACTGGAGTGATATGTGAGAGAATTATGCAGACATCTAGGCTGATGGCAAAGAGGCTCAAAGGTGCAGACATAAAAGGAGAGATTGACAGTAAGTTGGACAACCTGGAAGAAATGGATAAATTCTTATAAACATACAATTTTCCAAGACTGGTTAAAAAGGAAACAGAAAATTGGAACAGACCAATTACTACCAACAAAATCAAAACAGTAATAATAATAAATAAATAAAAACACCTAACAAACAAAAGTACTAGACCTATGGCTTCAATGATGAATGTTACCAAATATTCAAAGAAGAATTAACAACTGATCTTCTCAAACTATCCCAAAAATATTCAAAAAGAGGGAAGGTTTCCAAGCTCATTTTATGAGGCCACCATTATCCTAATCCTAAAACCAGACAAAAATGTTACAAAAGAAGAAAATTATAGACCCATATCCCTGATGAACATAGATGCAAAAATTCTCAATAAAATATTAGCAAGCCAAATTCAGTAATACAATAAAAAGATCAAGTGGAATTTTTCTTGGATTCAATGTTTGGCTCAATATCTGCAAATCAATTAATATAATACACCACAAAAACAAAATGAAGGATAAAATTCATAAGACCATAACAGTACATGCAGAAAAAGCATTTGACAAAATCTGGCATCCATTTATGGCAAAATTGGAAATCAGAGAGTATACCTCAATATAATAAAAGCCATATATGACAAACCTACAGCTAACTTCATACTCAATGGGAAAAAAGCTAAAAGTGTCTTCCTTAAGATCAGAAAGAAGACGGGGTTGTCCACTTTCTGCACTTTTATTGAACTTTTATCAGAAGTCCTAGCCACAACAATCAGATAAGAAGAAATAAAAGGCACCCAAATTGGAAAGGAAGAAATAAAATTGTCACTATTTGATGATGACATGTTACTACATATAGAAAACCCTAAAGCTCCTACAAAAAAAAACTATTAGAACTGATAAATTCAGTAAAGTAGCAGGATACAAAATTAATATTCAGAAATAAGTTGTATTTTATATACCAATAATGAACTATCAGAAAAAGAAACCAAGAAAACAATCACATTTACAGTTGCTTTTTAAAATATCTAGGAGTAAATTTAACCAAGGAGGTAAAAAACCTATATTCAGAAAATAATAAGGCATTGAAGAAAGATTTTTGAATTAGATACAAATATATAGAAGCATATACCATACTTATGAATAGAAAGAATTAACATTGTTAAAATGTCCATACTACTCAAAGAAATCTACAGATTCAATGCAATCCCTATAAAAATTCCAATGACAGTTTTCACAGAACTAGAACAAAAAAATCCTAAAATTTATATGGAATCACAAAGGACTCCAAATAACCACAGCGGTCTTGAGAAAGAAGAACAAAGTTGGAGGTATCATATTACCTGGTATCCAACTATACTACAAGGCTGTAGTAACCTAAAGAGCATGATACCAGCCTAAAAACAGCCATACAAATTAATGGAACAGAATAGAGAGCCTATACAGTCAACAAATATGTGACAAAGAAGGCAAAACATACAAAGGGTAAAGACAATCTATTCAATAAAGAATGTTGGGAAAAGTTGGACAGATGCATGCAAAAATGAAATGAGACTACCTTTTTATACTGTATACAAGAATAAACTCAAAATGAATTAGGCATTTAAATGTAAGACTCAAAACCATAAAACTCCTAAAGAAAAGATGGCAATAAAATCTCTGACACTGCTCTAGTAGCATTTTTACTGATATATCTCCTCAGGCAAAGAAAATAAAAGAAAAAAAATAAACAAATGGGACAAGTTTTTGCACTGAAAAGAATTCACAAACAAAACAAAAACAATCTACTGAATGGGAGAAGATATTTGCTAATGGTACATCTGATAAGGAGTTAATAGCCAAAATTTGTAAAGAACTTATACAACTCAACACCAAAAACATTTTTTTTTCCAATTAAAAATGGACAGAGGACCTAAATAGACACTTCTCCAAAGAGGACATACAGATGGCCAACAGACAAATGAAAAGATGCTCAACATCACTAATAGAAATGCAAATTAAAACCACAATGAGGTATCACCTCACACCTGTCAAAATGGCTATCATCAATAAATCAACTAACGAGTGTTGGCAAGGAGGAGGAGAAAATTGTATTATTGGTGGGATTGCAAATTGGTATAGTCACTATGGACAGTAGTATGGATGCTCCTAAAAAATCAAGAATAGAACTACCTTATGACCCAGCAATTCTACTTCTAGGTAGTTATCTGAAGAAATCCAAAACACTCATTCAAAAATATATGAGCAGCATATATATATCAGCACAATTCACAATAGCCAAGAATTGGAAGCCACCCAAGTAATCATCAATACATTAGTTACCACTGATGGAAGCTTACTCAGCCATAAAAAAGAATGAATCCTACCATTTGCAATCTCAAGACTAGACCTACAGAGCATTACACTGAGTGAAATAAGTCAGACAGAGAAAGACAAATACCATATAGTTTCACTTCTATGTGGGATCTAAAGAACCAGACAGAAACAGACTCAGGTGCAGAGAACAGGCTGACGGCTGCAGAGAAGACGGGCATTGGAGACTGGGTCGAGGAGGAGAAGGCACTAGGTACTAATCGGTGGTGACACAACAGCCAAGGGGACAGTAAGCACAGCAGAGGGAATACAGTCAATACTATGACAACAACCAGCATGTGGTGCCAGACGGGTACCAGGCTTACCAAAGGAAACACTTTGTCACTGTGTAAGTGTCTGACCACTATGCTGTACCCTTAAAATAACCCTGAATGTGAACCGTAATTGAAAAATATAATTTTAAAAAATGTATTGTAGTTTACTTCCAGAAGAAACGGTTACTTTAAGGGGAAAGCCTTAACATTAAACTAAGAAATGGTTAAATTTATACACATAAAAGAATAAATTGGATCTTAATTCGTTTGTCAGTCCACCTCCTTTAGGCCCCCAGAGTGAGTAGCCAGTGGCCTGGAGCTAGTGAAGGAGTTTTAGAAGTGCCTGAGCAGGGGGAAATGTTCAAAGTGAAAAGAAACCTTTAAAACACACACACACACACACACACACACACACACACACACACACACCTGTCTATGTAAGTGTGTGTGCAGAGCTGCCTGTAGAACGGAGACTTACGGTAGCAGTTAGTTATCAGTCATGTGTGAATTGTATTAATGTGGGAGCAGGAGCGTGCTCACTGCTTTGCTGAGAGGTGGCAGTGTTCTCCAGTGCACCAGTGCACCGGGCGGCTCTGCCTCCGGGGCTGTCCCTCTCCTGAAGGTGGCCTGGAGCAGGTGGGGGTGGGGTGGAAGGAGAACGCTGCTACCGGCTCCTGTGAGGAACCACGGGACTCAGCCCCCCGGGCGCTCGGGGACAGCGAGAACACACTGAGTCTCCAGCCAGCTCCCTCTGACACGGGTGCAGGTGCCCTGGGAGAGGCCAATGACGCCTCCTGGCAGGAAGTGCTGACGGGTAGGACCCGGTCCTGCTGCCAGGGGAGCGTCGTTGCTGAGTGGCACCCCACAACCTTACTTCATACACTTCTGTGGTCTGGGCAGCAGTCTGCAGCACGTTTTCCTGCCGCGCCCTCTCCACAGGAGATGGAGAGCCGCCGGGAGATGTTACTTTGTCTTGGGTTTTTTACCGATGTTATATGTAATGCCCACCAACTGGAAACAGATATCAGCCAACCGCTGAACGCAGTGTAGGACATTCACACAATGGAATACGAGTCATCCAGGAAAAGGAAAAAACTATGGATGCATGCAGCGACAGGAGTGATCTATAAATAGTTTGTTGAGTGAAAAGGAGTCAGATGGAAAAGAATGCATAATGTATAAATGATATGTACATAAAATTCTAGAGAATGCAAGCTAATAGGTATACACAGATAGAGCAGAAGGGCGTTCGGAGGACGGAGGAGGGGAGGGAGACCGGACAGCAGCAGTGACCGGCACGTTGCTATGTTGCTTTCCCTCATCCCCTCGCCTCTCACCTGCCCTGGCAGGGGTTTGCTGCCAGTCTTCGCCAAACGGCTCTCCTAAGTGTCTTCCCTGGTAATAAGTTTGCTCTTTTCCTGAAAACTATAAACACAAAGAGAAAAAAAAATTATACTCTTCTTCTTTCCCCATCTCCAAAAGCCACGTCCAGGAGAAGGGACATCAGTGGCCAGGCGGCTGCGTGCCCGATGGCACAGCAGTTCCCTCCGTGCCTCACAGCACTGAGAATTAGCAAATAAATGTGTGTGGGAGTGAGGAAGAGACCGCATCTCAAAAAACTACACTTCCGCCCGCAGAGAAGTGCCTGTGTATCAGTACACACTGCGCTGACGCCCAGGGCAAGCCACCGGCCATTCCCGCTCAGTGTCAGAACTACGGCCTGCACTGCAATGTGTCATTATTATTCACTGAGGTGGGTGACAGCAAAAATTTGCTACAGAGATACAGTAACTCTACAAAACAAGTACCTTCCTAGAACGTTGATTTGGAGGTAAAATCAGAGAAATGACTAAAATAGAAAAAATCATAAAATTCTCACCATTTTAAAGGCCTATGTCCACTGTCTTTTCAGAGAAGCCAAAGCACCCAGGCTTCTGAAAAACCTTGGCTTCGCTCCCCTGCTGGTGGAGACTCAGTGAGGAGCTGCATCCCAGCTCAGGAGTCACAGGACAGTTTCCAGGTACCTGACTGCGCCTTGGTGTTAAAACAAAAGCCTCCCCTATCTGTCTGCTTTGTGAAATCCACACGGGGGAAGCATGTGAGTTATTCTGTCAAACACTGGACAGAACAGCAACCTGAAAATAAAGCTGAGAAATATAAAAGGAAATACAGTAAAACCTTGATTTAACAGACTAATTTGGGTGAGAGTGTGTGCATTAAAGACAAAAATCTGTCATATAATAAAGTAGGTTTCTGAATGTGTATGTTAAAAAATTGATAAAAAAAAGTGTGACTCAGTGGTTGAGCGTCGACCTGTGAACTAAGAGGTCACGGTTCAATTTCTGGGGGTCAGGGCACATGTCCAGGTTGCAGGCTCAATCCCCAGTAAGGGGCGTGCAGGAAGCAGCCAATCAATGATTCTCTCTCATCATTGATGTTACTATCTCTCTCTCCCTCCCCCTTCCTCTCTGAAATCAATAAAAATATACGTATTTCAAAAGTTGACAAATTAGTTTACCTGTTTTTACCTACGTAGACACATTTGTATGAAAAACTAAGTATGAAAAGTTTAATTTCACAGAAAAGGTTTCTATGTGTATAATAGAAAATGCATGCCTTCACCAGTCACTGAGAGGAAACAAGTGCCCACGCCTGGGGTGTGGCTCTTCACAAAAGGCACACGGCCTGCACACTGCAACCACTGCAGAGAGTCACGCCGGCGACAGCAGAGCCAGTTACCGCGTGCGATGATGCAATTTCGTGGTAATCATTCGCCAAACACTGTTTGCCAGTGGTGACTGTGGGCTTAAAGATGTGGACTGTAGTTGTAGACATGTAATATTTATCTATGTGGGTGAATTATTACAGCATTTTTTCCAACATATGTCCTGTTTACTAAAATTTGTTTAAAATAACAGTGAATTGATAACAGAATATAACCTGTTAATTTAATTATAAGCAAATATTGGTTTACAGCATTTTAAAATTAATAGGGTGATTTTCACATAGTATACATGGACTGGAAGTTTTGTCCAAGAAATCGAAGTCTGTTAAGTCGAGATCTGCAAAATCGCGGGTTTATTGTAAAGTTCAATTAGCCAGCATCCCAAGAAAAAGGTACAAACTGACCGGGGCTGTGTCGGGGCCATGGGGCCCGGCCTGCAGGCGTGCATCTGCAAACGCCCCCGGCGGGAGTGTCTTGTTCGGGACGCTGTTGTAGTACGGGGGGTCTGAGCCGTCGCCCTCCTCTTCCGTCCAGGGCTCATCCAGACTCTGCATTCTGTGAAAAAAGAATTTTCAGGAGCGTTAGCCAAAAGTTGAGCTTTTAGTCAAAACCATCACATCTAATACCTATCACTCCAGAAAAGTGAGTTCAGTCACTGCCCCTTCAGCCATGCAGATCTCAGGCACATATGAAAAGCATAATAGTGGGTTAGTCAAATATCTCTGCCTATTCACAGTTCTATCCTTTGGAAAGTTTTAATCACATCTGAAACAAGAAAAAAATCATTTTTATAGGTACATTTTAATCAGGAAAGAAAAAGTTTACATGTAAAGACAACCAGTTCCTCAAGGCACAGACACACATTTTAATAAATAATAAAATTAACCCAAAGCAAAATCAACTAAAAATTGAACATTTTAGAAGATGGCAGGGTAAGACCTCTGAAATTTTTTTTCTTCCATGAAAACAACAATTTTTTCTTCCATGAAAAGAACTGGTTTTTTTTAAATTACAGGATTAACTATTTAAAACACTGGCTCTCAAAAGAAATTTCAATCATTGTACTGTTGATATTTGGCTCTGTTGACTAATGAGTTTGCTGACCACTGACATAGGGAGTGTTTATTCTGTTTTTTAAGCAAATAAACAAAGCTGTAAGAACAGCAGCTTGGGGCATTTTAACTTGCTTTGTTCCCATCGCCACAGTAGTCTTGAAAACAAACAGCTTACAATCACAGAGAAAACCAGTAGCCTGATAAACGTAGGAGGGGGCAAAGCAGCACTGAGTCTCTTTCAAAGCCTCATTCCCAGCAAACATTATGTCAACTGTCTAGTCACTCCTGGGAAGAGGTCACTCCTAAGGCTGTCTCTATTTGACAGATTCAGAGCTTGCCCAGGGAAAAAAAAGTGCCTCTTACCCTGGAACATTTGTCAAAAACAATTAGAGGCAACTGTTTAACAGCATGGCACCCTGAGGCAGTATAACATTTGAGGCAAAAAAATAGGTTAATCAAAAGCTTTTTTTAAAAAGCTAGAAAATAGAATGTCAGTAAGAACTTTGATAAATTTCAACCTATTTCCAGGAATCTAGAAAGCCACATGTATTCTTAGGACTCTGTTCATGTCCAAGGATGTATGCCTGCTCTGGAAAGATTCAAAAAGGCCTAGTCTCACCTCTGGCTGACCTTGAAGCCAGGCAGGAAGTGAAAGTTAAGGAGGAATAGGCAACTGCATAGCTGAGTGTTGAAGGGGTGCCCACACATACACAGAGTTCTAGGGATTTAAGGAAATCTCTAATTATTCGTTTTCTAATAATTGAACTGAACAGAGTTGTCAGTGGCCATTTCTGACAAAGAATATAGAGTTATGGATTTAGTTTAGAAAAGTTTAGGGGAGGGGGAAAAAACAACCACTAAAAAAAGCAACAACAAATTCTGAGGAGGGGAGAAACCTGATTGCAGAGTTAGCACGTTATATTATTTAAAATCTCTAACTTCAACAACAAACATTTTATGAGACATGAGAAGAAACACAAGGAATAAAAGCAATCAATAGAAATTGCCCCTGTGGACATTCAGATTCTGGACAAAGGATTTTCAATAATATTCACAGCTGACTTTATTCTCAGAAACAATGAAGGCGAGAAAGCAGTGGGATGGCATATTCAAGTACTGAAAGAAAAACACTGTCTACCAACTATTCTATACCCAGTAAAACTATCCTTCCAAAATGAAACAAAAAATAAGACATTTCCAGATTAAAAAAAAAAAAAAAAAAAAAAAAAACTGAAAAATTCATCACTACTAGATCTGCCCCGCAATTAATATGAAAGTAAGTACTTCAGGCTGAAATGAAAGACCAGATGCTAATACATATCCACATGAGGAAACAGAACAGTGGGACAAAATTAAATTTCTTTACACTTTATTTTGTAGAAACATATATAGGACTTCATGCCTCACGTGTATTCCCCGGAAGCATGGTAGTTCAATCAACTCCAACCACCCATTTTTATACACATGTTTAAATAGTGCTTATTTGACTTTTACATAACATTTCAAAAGTACAGAAAACCAAAATTAATAAAAATAAAAGATACTTACACATCCACCACTGAGACTAAACAGTGTGAACATTTTACTGTGCTTCCTTCCTTTTTTCCAGAGGGAAAAAATATTTGCCAAACTTACTTTGGATGAATAGATATGTGAAATGAACAGTAAAATGTTAATGTAGAAGCTAGATGATGGCATAAAGGTGTTCACTGCATTTTTTTAAATTATTTATTTATTTATTTATTTATATAATATATTGGTACCTTTACTTTCTAAAATCTCAGGGAGGAAATGCACTTGGCAAAGTTAAAGCCCACTCTGCGCCCACTTCATTCTTGCACATCCCGCTTTGGCGTGATACTTCTGCATGTTTTCGTATACACGCACTTATACAGTAACTACAGTATGTATAGAATTGTTTGTGTTTTTAAATTTTTCATAAATGGCTCATCTTTTTTTCACTCCATTAAAAAACTCTGCCATTTTTTTCTGATAATACACATATGCCGATATATTCTTTGTAATGACTATATATATCCTATTATATATGAAATTTGAAGTTTGTTCACTCATCCTCTGCAAGGCCATCTGGGGCACTGTCACTTTTACTCTCACTCTGCTTACCCTGCAGCCTGAGCCTGTGAGAGCTTCCGGCAGCGGGAAAAGCGGGGCCGCCTCAGGCACCTCCAAAAGGAATGTTTTAGAGAAATTTCCAGTGGATGAGAGAGAAAAATTAAAAGTCTCTTTCAAGAAAGGTGAAAACTTCATAGAGATGACAAAAGTCTGCAAAATAATGGAAGCAAAGGGACACTGCCTCATGATCAGTTCCAGATGCGGCTGTAGGCGGCAGGGAAAGCAAGCGAAGTCAATTTGGGAGAAACAAAGCCAGGTCTTCCTGGCGTGAACCACCACGGTGACAGCTGGGCCTTCCGGGAGGTCGTCTGGGACAGCCTGCTGAGTGACCAGTGCCCGGAGTGGCTTTTTATGCTGCAGGGAATATCCGTGTGTCCTAAAGGTATTCAGTGGTTGATCCCGAACATTTTTATAATAAGTTAAATACCTCACAATTCCTGTTCACGTTCACTATTTTATTTAACACTCAGAATCATAGCACTGCCAAGGCACCATCTTCTGATTTGACAGAGACACGCCTATCACAGGAGAGACCCGGACTGGTAATGAACTTGGCCAGGGCCACAGTGGGTTTCCGAGCTGCCAAGGCCAACCAGCAGGCGGGGCTCACCGAGCCTCTGGGCGGGGCTGCGGACACCGGCACGGCCGTGCGGACCTGAGGAGCACGGAGGAGCGAGTGGGAGCAGCACCTGGCTGCTCAGGAGGCAGCAAAGGCGCGGTAGGTGCTTTTCTGTGGCCTCGGCTGCTGTCGCTGTCCTCCCAGGAAAATGTTTTCCAACCGCAGAGCACGGTGGCTGCTTCATCTGCCGTTCCTCAGCGGCCAGCGCCCGGGGCCGGCGCCAGGAGGCCGGCCAGAGCACGTCTGGAGGCGGCCGTGGTTCCTCACATGGAGTGTTTCTGTTTGTCTGTCTGTCCGTTTTAGTTTTTGAGGAGGAAAGATGAGACTTCTCAGAAAGCCACCGTGCAGGGAAGCACCGCTCACTGCCCAGAGGAACACCCCTCACCGCCCAGAGGAGCACCCTTCACCACCCAGAGGAGCACCCTCACCGTCCAGAGAAGCACCACTCACCGCCCAGAGGAACACCCCTCACCGCCCAGGGGAGCACCCCTCACCGCCCAGGGGAGCACTCCTCACCGCCCAGAGGAGCACCCCTCACCGCCCAGTGGAGCACTCCTCACCGCCTAGAGAAGCACCCCTCACCGCCCAGGGGAGCACTCCTCACCGCCAGGGGAGCACCCTTCACCACCCAGAGGAGCACCCTCACCGCCCAGAGAAGCACCACTCACCGCCCAGAGGAACACCCCTCACCGCCCAGAGAAGCACCCCTCACCGCCTAGAGCACATGTGTCAAACACAAGGCCCTCAGGCCAAATCCGTCCCGCCAGGCCTTGCAATGTGGCCCGCACCGCGCTGTCATCACTGCACTCCGCTGCATTTCCATCACAATGACAGTTTATGACTGTTCAGTAAACCATTCGGCCCGCGATTTAGGCTGGATTTTAGATTTTGGCCCCTTCTCTGATTGAGTTCGACACTCCTAGCCTAGAGGAACACTACTCACCGCCAGGGGAGCACCCCTCACCGCCCAGGAAAGCACCCCTCACCGCGCAGAGGAGCACCCTTCGCCACTAGGGAAGCACTCCTCACCGCCCAGGGGAGCCCTCCTAACCACCCAGGGGAGCACTCCTCACCACCAGGGGAGCACTCCTCACCGCCCAGAGGAGAGTACTAACCACCCAGAGGAGCACTCCTCACCGCCCAGAGGAGCACTCACCGGTCGTGGAGAGCGGGGGCCTTGGCAGGGCAGCGCAGGTACTGCTTGAAGCGCAGCTCGAAGGCCTGCCCGATGGCGCCGATGACGTCCTGGGCCAGCCCGTCACGGCACTCCAGGATGTGGCATGCTGTGGGACAGTGGAGCTGAGTCAGGGCAGGCCCTGTGCAGAGCCTCCTGGGCAGAGCCGTCAGGCCAGGGAGGAGGGGCCCGGGGTGCATGTGTCTTAAGAAGCTGCGAGGCTCCACCGCAGCTTCCCCCAGCACCACCCCGGATGTCCTCCTCAATAGCCTATTCTCCCCAAAAGCAAACGCCAGTCCCTTTGGGGCAGGTGCCCGCCACCCCTCAGGGACCCGCTGTCCCGTAGCACACCATGTGGAACCTCAGAGAAAGGGGGTCATGTGGGGACAAGCAAGAGAAGGCCCTGCCTCTGCTCTGCGAGGCAGCGCTGCCCAGGGCATCCCAGAGGCTCAGCCCCGCCCGTCCCGGCACGCTGCGGGGTCTGAGGGGTCCCTGGCTGAGGGGTCCCGTGGCTGAGGGGGTCCCGGGGCTGAGGGGTCCTGTGGCTGAGGGGTCTGAGGGGTCCCAGGGCTGAGGGGTCCTGTGGCTGAGGGGTCTGAGGGTCCCGTGGCTGAGGGGGTCCCGTGGCTGAGGGGGTCCCGGGGCTGAGGGGGTCCCGGGGCTGAGGGGTCCCGTGGCTGAGGGGTCCTGTGGCTGGTGGGTCCCGTGGCTGAGGGGTCCCTTGGCCGAGGGGTCTGAGGGGTCCCGTGGCTGAGGGGTCCTGTGGCTGAGGGGGTCCCAGGGCTGAGGGGTCCCTGGCTGAGGGGGTCCCATAGCTGAGGGGTCCCGTGGCTGAGGGGGTCCCATAGCTGAGGGGTCCCGTGGCTGGTGGGACAGACGGGTGTCCCCTTCATCTTCCTCTGGGCAGCAGCTCGGATGTAAGTTAGGGAGGCTGGTCCGGGCACGCAGGCGCCAGGAGGAGGAGGCGTGCCACAGGGAGTGTTCTCAGGCTGAGGCCGCACGTGCCAGCCGCAGGAGAAGCTGGGACGCAGGGAAGGAGGCTCTGGGCACGGGACTGGCCGGGTGGGGGGTGGGGGGGCGGACAGAGGCCGCACTGCTTTGGAGTGCAGCGTGATGCTGCCTTCTCTGCACAGAGCGGGGGCTGGAGGGGCGCAGCCTGAGGACACGGGGAGCCCTGCCAGGAGGAAGGGGTGCCTTGCGCTGTGGCGCCACCCTCACTCCCCCGCCCCCACCTCGGGCAGATGAGGTGCTGTGTGTTTGCCCCCAGCGACAGACGTTTAGGCCTTCCCGGACAGTCCTCCTGGCCCTGCCACTGCCCGAGGCCAGAGCAGCCGCGCTGTGGAAGCCATCCTGCTGCTAGAGAGCTGGGGCGGGCCGGTGTGGCCACTGGAGGCAGCACTCCCAGGCGGGACTCCTGCTCAGGCCGTCACCAAGGTTCCATACAGCTGGATGGCTGGGCCAGAACCTTCGCCTTCCACCAGATTAACTTTAGAAGCATGGGTTCTGGACACCAGATTCTCACTGTACATAACTCCTAGCTAAACCAAAACATGCAAAAATGCGTAGGCAGGAATCACCGTGGGAAAGACAGCGGTGACAGTGAGAAACTCTGACCCTTAAGGATGTGGACAGAAGACTCTGGGAGCCAGATGTGCCCTGAGGAGCTGTGCCTGCAGCCAGGGGACACGCTGGCTCAGCCGCTGGGGCCTCCGCATGGGGAGTCAGACACCTGGAGCCCAGACAAGAGCATTTACCATATCCACCCAGAATGTCTTGGCCATCTGACTCCGAAGGCAGAGGCCATGCTGCCTGACTGGGGAGGCAGACGGATGAGGAGAGAACAGCAGCTCCGCACAGAAGGAGGTAACTGGGATGGACACATGAGCTGAGACAAAGGATGCTCTGAGGTCATGTTCACGGCGAAACTGTGAGCCCCTCCCTGCACCCAGCCTCGCAGGAGCCCGGGCTGGCTGTGGGACAGAGCCCGGTGCAGGGAGGGCTGCAAACTCCCCGTAGGGTGGGTCTGGCCCTCCCCGGACCGGACCTGTGGCTGCCCTGACAGTACACGTGGTTGGACTGGAGCGGTGCCTGGCCTCTCAGAGCCCTGGAAGCTAGCCCTTTGGTGTCTCAGAGCCAAGAGCTGCCAGGCAACAAGTCCTGCCGCCCTGATGGCCCCTCGGGCTCCCTGGGGAGGGGAAGGCTCTGATGGCCTGGCCATCTGGTCATCCCTACCAAGGTGTCAGGCGTGAAAACAAAGCAAACTTTGACCCTCTACACCAGGCCAGCCACCAGCCAAAGTCCACCCCGTGCCCCCAGTGATGCCACATGGAGCAGGAGAGTCGGCCGGCTGAGCCCTGCCGGGATCCTGACACTTGATCATAAGTGGCAGGCGGCAGGTGACTGGAAGGAAGGAGTGTGTCCCCCACCAAGTATCTCAGAGGGCCTCGTGCCGGGGTGCCCTGCGCTGCAGCACCAGGGCCAGTATCCGCCTCCCTGGCACCGCACGCTGCCCCTGGGGGAGCCGGGCCCAGCACCCACCGGATGTGGGGTATATCTGACTTCTGTGGCTTTGAAAAGGCCCCGTGGGCAAAGGCACTCCTGGTCATGGCTCTGAAACGAGACAGCCTGCACGCTTCCACAGCCCACGTCAGACTGCCTGGGCCCAGCCCTCCCTCAAGCCCTGCTCCGGCTCGGCTGCCTGGGGCCACCCGGAGCGCTCTGAAGAGGCCTGAGCCCCGAGCTTCCCCTACGGGACTCCAGCATGTGGCTCCGTGAGGATCGCTGCCCAGAGCCACTGGAGACTTCGGAAACGGTAGCACTGCCCAAGGTCACCTCAACAGCCCTTAGCCCTGGGCGGAAACAGAATTCTGTGCCGGCCGTGCAGACTGCCCGCCTCTCCCAGCCTCGCGGGGCTCTGGGGTGGTCAAAGGGGTGGCCTCTGCGCAGGGTTAGTGTCCTCGGTGAGAGATGTGCCCTTAGTCAGGAAAAGGCTGCTGCAGGCCAACCAGCCAGGGTGCGGGCAGCTGGGCGGTGGGTCTGGCCAGCACACCTGGTGTCCGTAAAAGGCGTCCGGGGGGCCAGCGGCACGCTCGGGCTCCGGGCACGCGAGGGCTGAGGGCACAGCAGCAGGGCACCGCTGGCGGAGGCAGGAAGGACTCTCCCCGCAGCCTCCAGAGCCGGGGGGCAGGGAGTCCTGCCGCTGGGAGGCCCCTGGCTTGTCGCATTCGCACAGCAGCCCCAGCAATGAGGGCACAGCCTCCCCCGGAGGATGCACTGTGCTGAGCTGCCAGTCTGCCCTCTCAGACAGCTCCACGCCTGTTATGTAAGGCCCTGGCGTCTCTCCTCAAACGCGTTATGTAAGGGCTGCTGCGGGTTCACAGTGCTCAGCCAGAGCATGGCAGCACAGGGCGGGACAGTCCTCCACGCATTGTCCTTATCCAGGAGTGACAGTGTGACACTTAGAGGACCTCATCTGTGAACCCCCCGTCCCCAGACATCCCGATGCCAGCTTCTAGGGGAGCCCCAACATCCCTAGAGAAGACTATCAGCCAACACTCTTTGTAAGACCTCACCTTCATTCTCAAGAAAGAAAAGGCAGCCCTGGCTGGTGTGGCTCAGTGGATGGAGTGTTGGCCTGTGGACTGAAGGGTCCTGGATTCGATTCCGGCCAAGGGCACATGCCCGGGTTGCAGGTTGGATCCCCAGTGGGGGCCATGTGGGAGGCAGCTGATCAATGATTCCCTCTCATCATTGGTGTTTCTATCTATCTATCTCTCTCCCTTCCTCTCTGAAATCAATAAAATATATTTAAAAAAAAAAAAAGAAAGAAAAGAAAAAGAAAAGGTAGCCCATCAAACCACAGCTTTCCAGCCCAGGGCTGGGCAGTCTCCATGGAAAGTCACCTTCACTCACTCACAAGGCAACGCAATGCCCGGCCGGTCTGCATGCCGTTGCCAGGTGCACTGCGGCACCCGGCACCCAGCCTCCCCCGCACCTGCCTCCCGGCCGAACACCGCGGGAGGAAACGGGGCCAGGACTCCAGGACCTGAGGGCGGATCCCTGTAAAGCCACGCGCTGGGCCAGGGAACCCATCTCTCCAGGCTGGCTTGAAAATAGCATGCTAAGACCTCATCTGCACTGAAACTTAAAAAGAAGGAAATCTGTGTGTAAGTATCGGAGCAAGCACGTGCTGACCACGAGGAAATGCCGGGTGGTGGGTGGGAAGACGGGCAGCCAGTGGGTCTGGGCTGTTTCGACGCTGCTGGTGACTGTGGGGTGAGGTCTGAACTGCAGCTGCTGGCGAACAGTGCTGCCTGGGATCTGAGGGCCGCAGCCTCCGCAGGCCGCCCCAGGCTGGTGACCCCAGTGAGTGGGGCTTGGTTTCTGAGTGACAGATCGGGGAGGGGGTGCAAGGAGAGTCTAGGAGTAAAGGCCCATGAGGATAGAAAGCCCTGGAACACCTCGGGCCCCACACTCCACCTGGTAGCTGGGAGGGGCAGGAGGCCACAGCACCTAAGCTGGGACACAGCCTCCAGGCTGTGGGGGCAGCGCCAGGCTGTGGGGCAGCGCCAGGCTGTGGGGGCAGCGCCAGGCTGTGGGGCAGCGCCAGGCTGTGGGGCAGTGCCAGGCTCCGGGAGACGCAGCAGTGGGCCCGGAGCTCAGCCTATCTGGGCGTCTCTGTGTGCAGCGGGGCAGGGGCGGCTTTCTGGGTCTGGGGCAGCTGCCGGAGAGGGGCAGGTGCTGCGAGCTCGCTGGCCGGTACAGGCGTGCGGGTGGAGCTCACCGCCCAGCCCGGGGCCGCATCGCTGCCTGGAGCCTCTGTGACCGTGAGTGTGAGAGCGCTGGCTCAGAGTGAGAGGCGTGCCTGTGCTACCTCAGGTGGAGCCTGTGTTTGAGGAGAGGTGCCAAGGGCCAGCATTGCTTACCTCTGCGGTTAACGGGGTCCTTGGCTACGTACGCCACGTAGTCCGTTGTGTCCTGTCAAAAAAACAGACGCCACATCACTGACAGTGCACAGTGCGGCATGCTGTCCACAGCCCGAGGGGCCGTTCTCACACGGAACCATGGGGGGGGGGGATTGCGGGACCTTGTGAATTGCAGATTCGGGGGTGGGGTGGGGGAAGGAGTCACTGGGGAGCTCTAAGGACAGTCTCAGGCCCAGGAGACCTGGCTGTGACTTGAGGTGAGGCCTGGGGATCGGGGTGTGGAAAGCTGCCCGTGAGCCACGCGAACCGAGGTGAGAGCAACAGCCGCTGTCTGCCCGGCGGCTCTGCCTGGAGCGGCCGCACCTGCGGGGCTCCGCGCCGGCCTGAGAGAGCCACCAGGGGCCGCTGGCGAGGCCGCAGGTGCTGCCGCTGCCGGCCTGGGCGTCCCTGGGAGCCGCTGGCGGGACACTCAGCAGGGCTGCTCAAAGGCGAGGGCTCTTTCTTGTTGTTGTTTTGGAATCAGTAGTCATTTTTATTCCTTTAAGGTGTTTCGAACATATGAGCTGGATCCCTTTGCCTAAAGCCTGTGCCTCCTCGCCTGCCTCCATCTCAGCAGCCCAGGGGCCACGTGGTTTCAGTTTCCAGTCACAGTCACAGGAACCATAGTCCTCTTCTTCATGGAAGCAGAGACACATCTCTGTGAGGGGCCGGGGGGCTGGAAAGGTTTGTCCCATTGGCGCGGACAGACAGCTCCCACCATTGGCGCGGACAGACAGCTCCCACCATTGGCGCGGACAGACAGCTCCCACCATTGGCGCGGACAGACAGCTCCCACCATTGGCGCGGACAGACAGCTCCCACCATTGGCGCGGACAGACAGCTCCCACCATTGGCGCGGACAGACAGCTCCCACCATTGGTGCGGACAGACAGCTCCCACCATTGGCGCGGACAGACAGCTCCCACCATTGGCGCAGACAGACAGTTCCCACAATAGGTGCAGACAGACAGCTCCCACCATTGGCGCGGACAGACAGCTCCCACCATTGGCGCAGACAGACAGTTCCCACAATAGGTGCAGACAGCTCCTGAGGGCCCCTGCTTCACAGGGCTGGGCAGCATGGCTCAGTCCCTTGCTGTGAGCAGCTGGGAGAGTCTACAGTGAGCACCCTCACTTTCCAAGGGGCTCCCAGGACCCGCAGTGAGGGAGGGGCAGAGGGAGCGTGCCTGAAGGTGGGCATACAAGGCTGGTGGATGTGAAGACACTGCCTCAGGGTGGTGAGTGGTGAAGACACTGCTACACATCCTTGCCCCCAGAGCTCATGATGCCACAGCACAACCACGCAGGGGAGGAGAGTCCCCCAGCGATGGGCCGCGTCTTCCTGTGCAGGCAGGCTGCTTGCTCTTCCCACACAGAGCCCTGCCGTGGGTATATCCGCAGATCGGTCCACCTGCCCCCGCCATGTCCATTAGGAAGACCTTGGAAGACTGAAGCTATTAGCAACAACAAGGCTTCTCGCTTGCTATCAGAGACCCTGTCCCTGGGTGTGGGAGATGTCACCATCAGGGGTTCCTCATGGAACACTCGTGTTTCTCAAACTGACCCCCGAAACCTAGGGTTGGGCAGGGACCTTCCCCTGCCTGTGAGATGTCACCAGGATTTCCTCTTAGTTTTGTATTTTCATTCCATGATAACCTTAAGATTAGGATAGGAAGGTCCGGGATCACGTGGGTGGCACTGGGCGCCGTGCTCTGCATGCAGTGTCAGTGCTGGGACCTTTAGGTGGGTTTCCCACATTACGGGTCCCACATCGTAGAAAGTCGGGTAGAAAGGACATCATCTAATCTTAGGAGACTCGATGCCTTTGCCCCAGGAAGCAAAGTTCTGTCACGTTTATGCACACGGAGGACAAGGAAGGGTCTGCTTGAGGAGGAGAAGTCGCGGGGGGGAGCGCCGAGGAGAGAGGCCGCTGGGAAGGCTGAGGGAGCAGGCGGCTGTCCGGCTTCACACCGAGAGCAGAAGCTTCGTGTCCGCAGAACGTACCCATCTCGGGAAGTTAACGCTGCTGCAAACCCATCGGCTGTTACTGTGTTTATCGGTAATCTTCCCAGTGTGACTGGGGTTTGCAGTTCATTGAAAAGTACACCATCAGCCTTGCCAGTGTGGCTCGGTGGATAGAGCCCCAGCCTGTGGACGGAAGGGCCCGGCTTTGATTCTGGGTCAAGGGCTTATGCCTCAGTTGCAGGCCAGATCCTAGCCCTGGGTGGGGCATGTGCGGGAGGCAACCAATCGATATGTCTCTCATATCGATGTTGTTCTCTCTGTCTGTCCCCCCCCTTTGTACTCTCTTTAAAAATCAATTAAAAAAAAAACCTCAGGTGAGGATTAACCAAGAAAAAAAAGTATATCATGAGAGTCTATATTTTATTTTTGTACATGTTTGGGTAACAAACTTAATTTGAGTTAACCCTAGTGGCATACACAAGAAAATTCTTCTTTATAGATTCTAATTCCAACCTGAGGAAGTCTGTCAGATGTGAGGTGTCCCTGTCACTCCGATGGCCAGTGGTCAAGCCAGGACAGAGCTGTCCTGAGGCCAATAGTATTTCTGCAGCACAGCGGGGTGCATGGCTGTCCAAACAGTGTCCCCAACATCACACAGTGAGCGCACGGCATCCCCGAGGTGGGGCCACACGTGTTCCAAGTTTGCCAGCTCTGCTCTCCCTCGCCAGGACTTTTTGAGCCTGCCAGTATTGATTCTTTCGTGGCCTTTTAACTCGGCTAATTATGTAGATTATAACTCATGTGTGAAGGGATTAACAGTGTTTTCCAACCTGTCTTATTTGACATTCTGAAATATTATTTTCTAACTTGGTAAACTGAGGCACAGAGCAATTAGTAGATATACCCGAGGCAACAGAACAAGGACTAAGATCTAGAATTTTTGGTTTTATTTAAAACATCCACCAACTGTAACAACTATCAACAGAGTTGGCATAGAATTTATGGACAATGTGATGTACATTGGGACTGGTTACAGGGGAAGCGGAGAGTAACTCACAAGCTTTTACGTTCTTGCTGATTTTTTCTGACAGATGTCTGACTGTCTGTCTGACAGCAAAAAATCAGCAAGAACATAAAGCGTATGGATTACTTTAAGGGTCCCTGAATGCTTCCCTTTTCTGCCGAAGGAGCGATGGGGACTCGGAGAAAAGCCCGCAGACTGTGCACCTCGAGGACGAACTGGTTTCCGCACAGGACACTGTGTTTGGCTTCCGTTTGCTGGATCTCTGCTTCTCCATCATCATGGGATGAGGACTGACACAGGCTCCAGGCTCCGGGGAGGACTGTCAATGCAGGGGCAGTGTTTCTGCCTTTTGTTTTTCCAACGGGGTCAACTTCCAAAGGTCAGAAGCTGTGGTTCCAGCCGTCACCTGGGGCAGCCAGCAGAAGGCCACCGGCAGCTCAGTAGAGCCAGACCCACACAGGTGCAGGCGCGGGGGAGGAGGGGGCCGGGCCTGGCCGGCAGAGAACAGGTGCGCAGGCACCTCTGGGCATAGCCCGCAAGTGCACCAACGATGGTTCGACTATGGAGGGCTTCCACCTTCTCAATATTCTTTCCAATGAAACGTGAGATGAGGATTAGAGGGAAGTAAAGGAAGGGAAGTGGAGAGAAGTGAGGGGAGGGGATGGGAGGAAGAAACCACCTGAGAGACCTGAAAACAAGGCCCCACGTGCGGAAAGACCAAAGCCACTGAGTGAGAGGTCAGACGGCGGCCGTCACCCTTTGGTGAGTAAGTGGTTTAAAGGCAGAGAGCCGTCCGCAAGGTGGACACACCCCTCCTCCTGACAGTGCCCTGGGCTCAGGGGTCTGAAATGGGGGGATGCCGGACCTCTCTGGGGCTGCAGAGAGCATAGGTGACGCCTCCCCGGGGCTGCAGCAGCTGGGGGAGGGGAGGTGCCGGTTCCCCAGAGGAAGGCACTCCCATGATCACAGGCCCTTTGGAAAGGCAGACTGCAGCCAGCAGTGGGAAGCGCCTCTCGATTCCGCTTTCCATGTGCCAACAGCGGTCTGCAGTCAGGCTGCCCAGAGGAGGGGCCTGGGAGGCAAGGGTGTGCAGGATAGACATGGGCCTGGGAAGAACTCCCTGCCTGGGGACAGGAGTAATATATCCGCAATTACTCAGGCGACCCTGGACCCATAAATTTTACTTAAATTCTGAGCATTGCATACTGATAATTTTTAAAATATTTTATTGATTTTTTTACGGAGAGGAAGAGAGAGGGATAGAAAGTTAGAAACATTGATGAGAGAGAAACATCGATCAGCTGCCTCCTGCACACCCCCTACTGGGGATGTGCCCACAACCAAGGTACATGCCCTTGACCGGAATCGAACCCAGGACCCTTCAGTCCGAATGTCGACGCTCCATTCACTGAGCCAAACCGGTCAGGGATATTTTGACAAAATAATACAAAACAACAAGGATAACAAAAATACCACTATAAGCCACCATTTTTTTATGATAAAAAAAAATTTAACAGCAAAAGGACATCTACTCAGGATACTGAACAATTTAATTGATTAAACTTAGTTCCAAGAAAAGCTCGCTCTTTTGTCCTAACATTTAGGTATTTCCCTGGGTGATCACTAACCAGGCGGATGAAAAGTGACGTGAGGGCATTGGGGGAGTCATTCTCCGCCCACTGCTGGCAGGGGCTGTTTCCTACGGCGCCCTCTGCCCCTCGCCTCCTGGCCATTCCTGCCTGGGCTTCTTCAGAGGGCGGGACTGTTCGCGGTGCGCGGTGATGAACACAGTGAGTGTGCAGGTGTGCAGGTGTGGCCCTGCGTCCTGCCTCTCCCGACACTTTGAGTGGCCGCCAACACCGGAGAATCACATTCCTGACCACACGTGGGGGCAAACTCCTTGTTTCGCACCTTCTTCATGAAGTAAGTGACACAAACAGAACGTTCCCATTTTAGCCCGTCTCCCTCTCTGTCTCTGCAGCTCCCTCCCTGTTGGCTAAACAAACCAATAAAAGATGACAGTGTTAAATTGAGAGAGAAAAATGCCAACTTCCAATATTTATGAATAAACTAGACTAAGTAAATTCACAGCCTTCAATCACTGGTACTTAAATAGAGGCCCGGTGAAGGCCCAGTGGAGAAACGGGAACCGAGCAGGGCAGACAGAGATGGGAGGCAGTCACCAGGCAGCACCTGGCAGCTCTCAGTTCCTCCTGAGAAAACCAGGGCCTCAAGGATTGTCAACAGTGCTTGGCTAACAAGTGACAGTTCAAACCTTCTTGATGGCACCCTAAGAAGTGCACCTTGGAAGTAGGGCCCCTTCCCAGCCACTCCCAAGAAGGTGACGAGAAGAGAAGACAAAGCAAAAGGTACTTACCGGGTCGCCCCCGGAGGCGAAGGAGATGGACTGCATGTGGTGATTCGCTATAATCTGCCAGGCCCGGGACAAGAACGGAGACATGCCGTTAGTGCGCTTCCCATGTCTTGGAAAACCAGCCGTTAACAAGCAATACGAATCTACAAGGGTTTTCATAACTCGGTAAAATGGCACCCCCTGAAAAGAACTCTAAAAGTAATAACACAGCGTGTCAGCTGCTCATCTAGCAGCTCTGCCAGAATGAGCTCTTATAAGCTCCACAGTAACCCTGTAATGTAGGAGCTATTGTACCCCATTTCACAGATGGGGAGCCTGAGGCCCAGGGTCCAGTGGTTTGCTCCAAGTGCCATAGCCAGTCCTGGTCAGGGCTGTGGCAAACACAGAGGGTCTGAACAACCATGCCTCTGTGAGAAGGAAAATGCCTCCCCGCACACAACACTCAGCTGCGCAGTGTCTGTCTCCCAGGACACGGGGGCCATCCATACAGACTCGGAGCTGGAGTGGAGGGAAGACTGTCTGCCCCACTTCAGCCCGTTCACGTCATGTGCGCATACATCGGGAAGTCCTCACCCAAGATCAAAATTGGTTCCCTTTCAGCCACTCTTGTAATTTATCAATTTAAAATCTAGCAAAGACGTTCCAAGTTCATCTTTAAATGGGAAGTTTCCATTAGCATTATAAACTGCAGGGCACAGTGGAATTTAGCAGGCGCCGAGTAAATTAGAAGCTGCACTAAATTTAAAAAGCTGTGTAAGTCTTCCACACTACTTTCGTCTTTTTAAAGACAATGTGATGACATTGAAGTAAATGTCTGAGGTGAGAGCAGTCCTCCCTCCCACCATCATCACGTTTGTTTCTGCTCGGCCCCTCAGGCCCTGGCGGGTGGGCAGTCAGGATTCACAGAGCTGTAATCCTACCATCTGAGGGACTTTTCCAGACATGCTCCTGTAAAACCGGAGCAAAACTGTAAATGAATTGTAAGAAAAATGTTTCTAAATGCCTTCTTCAGTTTTGAGGATATGCAATGCTACTCAGGATCCAGAGAAACCGGAGCACGTATGGTTGTGTTTGGGGGAGTCCGAAGTGAACTGCGGGGTTTGACTGCACAGGGGTCGGACCCCTAACCCGGGTGTTGTTCAAAGGTAAACTGTAGACGAGTGAAAATGTGAGTCCAGCTCTGTGGCCTGTGCCCAAGCCCAGGGGATCGGACTCCTGGCTGGCTTTGCAGCTCTCCGGAATCCTGCTGGAGTCCAGGGGCGGAGGCTCCGGGGAGCAATGAGGACACAGCAGCCCCCAAACCATGGTAAAACTATGACTTCTAACACTGCATTTTACCTACTTAACTTTTGCTAACTTGATTTTCTTAACAAAGCAGTGCTAACACTGAGGTTTGGAAATCAAGTGAACATTAAGATTTAGGGGGAAATGGAAACCATATTTGGTCAGCAGATGCATAACCTCACTGTACATGTACCGTCCTTTGGCTCAGCGGAGAGCTGGCTGACTGAAAGCAGATATTTTTGCTCTAAGGCTGTTTCCTCTCCTTCTCCTTGAGCGCTGCAGAGGGGCTCGGGCACTGCCTGCTCTCTCGCACCGAGGGCGTGTCCTTCTGGCTCGCTCTGTTTGCCACAGCTGGACCCTGAACCTGGCGAGGGAGAGCCAGAGGGAGGCCAGCTCCGGCTGCCATCAGACCTTCCTCGGATCAGGCTCTTGATGTCCGTGCCGGCGCCCCTCAGGACTCACTCCCACCACCGAACCCAGGGCAGGACGAGAGCTGCACACCCACCAGCCCCTCTGCCAGGACGGGAGGGCCAACCACGGTGGCTCACCTTCCTGCTCCGAGTCTGCTTCCCTGCGCTGTGAGGAGGGAAGTAAGTAAAAGGAACACGAGGAGGGAAGATCCCGCAGAATGAGGACCAGGGTTCCTAGGAAGGAAAGGTGCACAGCCACAGAGGATGGGATGGATGTGGGCATCTGAGAGCAGAGCTGAGGGACCAGCCCTCGTTAGCCACATGGCTGCTCAGCCTGGAGGCCGCTCCAGAGAGTCTGCGCCTGTTCCAGCTACTCAATCCCCTTAAATGGCAGCGTCACCCATCCCTTAAAGGACCAGTGAGAAAAGAAAAAGGCTCATCCATCACGCAAGTGAAGACAAAAGAATAGCGAGAGTGGCATCGACTGTGTCCAAACAATGCCCAGACATTGTCTCTTGCTTCTATTCTGGATCTAGAATTTATTTCAACATCCCGGGTGGGGGATGTAGGGTGGAGGAAAAAATGGAGCTGGAGATGCTTCTTGCTTACCTGGGAATTTGAAAATTCACCAATAAGAGTATGTGTAGCAACCTACAGGTGCCCCAGGCATCCCTGGTGCGCGTTGCCATGGTCCCCACAGTCTGGGGTGGCCCATCGTTTGCAGAGTAGAGACACCTGGTCTCCGGCTCACACTGACCACAGGGCCCAGGCTGACTCGGGGACTCACCATGAGCAGCATCTCCACCTGCTGTATCCAGGGCAGCTACGTGTATGCACATTTGAGCCATGATGTTAAACAGTTCCCTCTAATTTGTTTTTTCTTTTCTTTTTTTTTTACAGACAGCCCTGGGGAAGAGGCATTTTTCCTTTGGCAAGCTCTAAATCAGGTCAAATACAGACAGCCTTGATGCTAGTAGAGGTGGCTAGTCCTATATAAAAAAGCCTAATATGCTAAGTGTCTGACCATTCAGCCAGTCTCTATGACGTGCACTGACCACCAGAGGGCAGGTGCTCCAACTGGTAGGTTAGCTTGTAGCTGGGATCCCGCTGATCAGGGACTTGGCAAGACAGGCCAGACAGTTCCTGGAGCCCTCTTGCAGTCCCGCCCCAGCCCTGATGCTGCACCGGTGGGTCCCTCGGCCGGGCCTGGCCTGCGCTGTCTTTGGGGCATGTCTGAGAGCTGGGTTAGGCCAATCCCCACAGGCCTGGGCGAGGGAGCCACCGGCCCACGGGACCGCTCACTCTGGAGGCGCTGGAAAGAGACAAGGAGGTTGGCTCCCGGGCATGTCGGGCCTGTCTCGCCCAGGCTCACCCCACCGGCCAGCTTCTAATTATTCTCCTTTCACTGTGCACGAGTCTGTGCACCAGGTCACTAGTTAGTATTAATAAAGGAAGGGAGTAAAGAAAATAAGGTCGTAAGTGTCATCAGCAGGGAGCTGAGTGGGACTTTAAGCCTCACTTACTAGGACAATGTACCATTCCCAGCTCCCCAGGGGACTTAACCTCACCTTCGCCTTACCCCGCCTTCCCCGAACCCCGCCTTCCCCGAACCCGCCTTCCCCCTCGCCGTCCCCCCCCCCGCCTTTCCCCCCCCCCCGCCTCCTCCCCCCCCGCCTTTCACCTGCCTCCCCCCGCCTCCCCCCCCTCGCCTCCCTCCCCGCCTCCCCCCCCCCCGCCTCCCCCCCCCCCGCCTTCCGCCGGCCTCCCCCCTGCGCCTCCCCCCCCCCGCCTCCCCCCCTCGCCTCCCTCCCCGCCTACCCCCCCCCCGCCTACCCCCCCCCCCCCGCCTTCCCCCGCCTTCCCCTGGCCTCCCCCTCCCCGTGCCTGCTCTCTGCACCGTTTTCCTGAGACACCACCTGTCCCGGTTCCTCCGGCAGCACTGACACTGAGGGAGGGCTTGGAGCGCGCGCAGGTGGGGTAAGGATGTCATGTGGTTGTTCTCCTCGCTGAACCCGTGAGAAGCACAGCCCTCCGGCACGAATTCGCCCGCGAACATGCCCGCTGTGCTGCCGCACCAGCACACTCCCTGCACACCGGAGACATGCACACGCCGTATCCCCCGAGCCCTCCCACGCTGTCAGGCGTGAGAGGCTAAGAAAACATGTCCCGCCACAGCATGCCGGCCACTGCCGACAGTGAACCGGCTGTAGGACCGGGAGTGCGGGGGAGGAGGAAACCAACTGCACACCGCCCTCCTTCCACGTCCGCGAACCCGTGCCCATGCACTCCTCCCCAAGGCCAGTGTGACAGCATTAGAGCCTCTGCCCTCCACCTGCTGTGGCCCTCATGCAGCCATCAGAGGTGGGAGACCTGAAGGTTTACACCCTGTGCCCCACGGCCCGGGGCAGCCAGGGTTGGGAGCCCAGAAACACCCAAGGTGTGTGTGAGTGTGTGTGTGTGTGTGAGTGTGTGTGTGTGTGTGAGTGTGTGTGTGAGTGTGTGTGTGTGAGTGTGTGTGTGTGTGTGTGTGAGTGTGTATGTGTGTGAGTGAGTGTGTGTGTGTGAGTGTGTGTGTGTGTGTGAGTATGTGAGTGTGTGAGAGTGTGTGTGTGTGTGAGAGAGAGTGTGCGTGTGTGTGTGAATGTGTATGTGTGTATGAGTGTGTGTGAGTGTGTGTGTTTGTGTGAGTGTGTGTGTTTGTGTGAGTGTGTGTGTGTGTGAGTGAGTGTGTGAGTGTGTGTGTGTGTGTGTGTGAGTGAGTGTGTGTGTGTGTGTATGAGTGTGTGTGTGTTTGTGTGTGTGTATGTGTGTGTGTGAGTGTGTGTGTGTGTGAGTGTGTGTGTGAGTGTGTGTGTGTGTGAGTGTGTGTGTGTGTGAGTGAGTGTGTGAGTGTGTGAGTGTGTGTGTGTGTGAGTGTGTGTGTGTATGAGTGTGTGTTTGTGTGTGTCTGTGTGTGTGAGTATGTGAGTGTGTGAGAGTGTGTGTGTGTGAGAGAGAGTGTGCGTGTGTGTGAATGTGTATGTGTGTATGAGTGTGTGTGAGTGTGTGTTTGTGTGAGTGTGTGTGAATGTGTGTGTGTGTGTGTGAGTGTGTGTGTGTGAGTGTGTGTGTGTGTGTGAGTGTGTGTGTGAGTGTGTGTGTATTTGTGTGTGTGTGAGTGTGTGTGTGTGAGTGTGTGTGAGTGTGTGTGTGAGTGTGTGTGTGAGTGTGTGTGAGTGAGTGTGTTTGTGTGTGTGTGAGAGTGTGTGTGTGTGTGTGAGTGTGTGTGTGAGTGTGTGTGTGTGTGAGTGTGTGTGTGAGTGTGTGTGTGTGTGAGTGTGTGTGTGTGAGTGTGTGTGTGTGTGAGTGTGTGTGTGTGTGAGTGTGTGTGTGTGTGTGAGTGAATGTGTTTGTGTGTGTGTGTGTGAGTGTGTGTGTGTGTGAGTGAGTCTGTTTGTGTGTGTGTGTGTGAGTGTGTGTGTGAGTGTGTGTGTGAGTGTGTGTGTGTGTGGAGAGGGGCTGGGCACCCTGACAGACCTGCTTGGAGTCCGCTGTCCGCAGGTTCAGGCTGGCGGTGGAGACGGTGAGGGCGATGCTCGTCCCGGCGAACTGCAGGTTGCTCTTGCCCAGGATGCTGGACAGCGCTTTGCTCGGAGGCTGTGAAGTCAGGCGGCGTTATTTTCGCTTTTGAGTCACGGGGGCCACATTGCTGAGACCTCTCTGTTCCCGTTTGCCACACCCCCAGCCCTCCGTCTCCCACCCTCTTTAGGCACAGGAAGAAAACTGTGCTCAGAATAAGCTGTGGGGGCGCGGGGGGTGTCCGACACTGACACAAAGATTCCGGGAACTCTGAGCATCTGTGCACACACTGAGCGGGGGAGGCAGGGTCAGTGTCCCGCAGCCCACGCTGCGTCTGAGAGGGACGTGTGAGCGGGGAAAGGGCCAGGCCTGCAGCTCACACACACACACACTCACACACACTCACACACAGCTTGCACTCAGAAGCCAGCTTCACCCACCAGGAGCCACAGCACCGGACCAGACTGTCGGTCCAGCTCAGGGTCATGGGCCCCACGGAGCCGCTCGCTGCTGGAGGACTGGGACGTGAACGTCCTCGGGTGCAGTTAGAACACTCGGTCTGGGCGCCCGGAGTGGCAGACGCCGCTCGGCACTAACAGGCACGCCCATCGGCCTGACAGTGATCTGGGCACAGGGACCGGTTGATGCCAGCCAGGCACCTCTCCCTGGGTCTCTGCGTGGGCATGGCCACACTGGTCCCTTGCTAACCCCCAACCTTCCTCTTCAATTAGAGCTCACCCCTTCGATATCCCATCCAGCCCTAGCTCCTCAGCAGCTGGCCCAGCGCGTGCTGCTCCCGCCTGAGCTGGTGAAAGGCAGGCAGTCTGCCTGGGGCGGAGCCCGGAAGATGGCATTGTTTCCATCACCTGCACCCAGAGAACCAGGAGGACACCCCAAGACTCGCCTGGCTCTGTTCCCAGACACCCTCCTAGTTCCCATATCCCAGATTCTGGAGGCATCCTGCTTCCCCAGTCCCCTGTGGGAGGGCAGAACGCAGGCCCGCACATCTGAGCCTTCATCCAAAGTCCTTCCCTCAAACTCCATCGCCCTTTTGGTCACCAGTGTCCTCAAGCTACAAAGACAGAAACAACCCACAGCCCGAGCGGCAGAGGCAAACACCAGCCTGCCCCTCCGCACCCCACCCCATTCCCCGCCGGCCACGTCCCCGCCTCAGGACGCTCGGAGGTACACAGAGGGCCGCCCCACATGCAGACCAGGTGCAGAAAGGTCCCAACTGGGAATTTACTTATGTGTTTACTGGGCACTTAAGTGCAGGGTTTTGCTGAGCTTTCTCTTAACCCCGTTAGTCTGTTTTTTCTCTTGGTTCAAACACCTCAGGATGAGAAGGTGGAGCACAGGGGTTGAACACAGCCCCAGGGGCCCAGTCGTTGGGCTGGAGCTTGGCTCCACCACCTGCGGGCCTCACGGCTGTCCTCTGTGCCTCAGGTTTTCTCTCTGTAAATGGGGAGACGCAGAGGCATCCTAGAGCTGCTCATGCCAGCTAATGAGAGACAATTATCAAATGTTTAGGAATGTTATGAGCTGGCCATGAAAACAGCTGCTATTAAAAATTAATTATGTAAGCTTGCAAATAAATACATTACATTAAAAAACAATAAATGCTTAAAACTCATCACTCCCTACCTTTTGTCGGATTAGCGGTTACCCCTGCGGTTGTGGTTGTTTGCATCGGGGTGCCTGTGGGAACTGCAGGAGACACTGGTAACGGTGTCTGCACACACCGCCCGGCTCCATTTTGGGGTGTCATGTCAGAGCTTGAAAATGGCCACAGAAACTGGCAACACCACCAGCGTGGCTTCTCGCTCCCCAGGCCTGCAAGACTCTGTTAAACTTGCACCAGCCCAGCACCGGGGTCCCCACAGACTGTTCCCCGGAGGGAACGAGTGCCCAAGGCCGGGAGGAGGCGGGCCTGTCCCCCGGGCTGTCGCCAGCCCTGTCTGCGCTGAGGCCCCGAGGGACCAGGCGCGGAGTCTGGGGTAACTGAGCTCATCAACCACGTGGCAGAGGGGCCTAAGCTCTTTCTGTTTTCACAGTGACAGGAGCCACTGCAAGGTTCCCTTTTCCACAAGGGGTGCCTTTGGTTCTCCCGGGGGGGAAAAAAATGGGGGAGGGGGCTGGGCTCCAGGCCTGGGAGGGAGGCTGAGCCCTGTGCCAGGGAAGCTGCCGGGACGGGGGCGGAGAAGCAGACAGACAGACAGCACTGAGGACAGTACCTTTCTCTTCCGGAAGGCTCCCTTGGCGCCGGGGACGGCTTCGCAGACGCGGCTGATGGCTTCCCTGCAAGACAGGGAAGAGGGTCAGTGGCAGCCAGGCCGCCCAGCCAGGCCCGCATGTGCGGGGCGGAGGCCCGCCTGTGTCCGCTGAGGACAGCCTGCCAGCGCAGCTCCCGTGGGTCCACGGGCCACGCATCCTAACGTGTGCGATGTGCGTGTCCGTGCACTGCTGCTTTACTTCCTGTTTGTTTTTATGTTTGGTTATGATTCCATGCGGTTCCCTGAAATGGGCTCTTCCAGAGGCTGTGCTCACAGGAGGCACAGGCCCAGTGCTGACAGGGTGCTGCCGCTGCGCAAGAGCCTCCCCTGAGCCAGAGGGACTCCAGGACACACGGGCGGCCGAGTGTTCCTCCCGTGACAGCAGACCGACCGGAGGTGTCCTGATTAAAGCGCAGCCGAGGAGGGAGGGAGAAAGGTAAGCCGTTCACCAGTTAGCAGCCTCCGGCCAAACCCAGCTAATGCTGCTCCCATTCCTGACTGTGCAGAAACTTTGGGCCAGCCTTGGTGACCGTTTCGGCTCTTATCAGAGAGAATAGCTGGTGACCAGACTCTACCCACTCTGCCCACAACCAACCCAGAGGACTCTGCCTGTCCAGAGCGGCCCCGCCTCACTTTCCCACCCCCTTTATCCGGAGCCAAAGTAAGTTCTTTCCAAATAAGTTTCATCGTCCTCTCCGCACTCTGAAACCCAGGACACGCATGCACGTCTTCTCGTCTACGCTCTGCCCATGGCCCAGGCTGCTTGCTCCAGGACCTAGTCCCTTTGCTGGCTAGAACACGGCTCAGCTAACCCTCTATTTCAGAAAAACTTTTATCCTCCAAGGTTTCATTTAGCAACACTCTGTAGTTAGAAAATGTATAATCTGAACGGGTTTGAGGAAGAGAAACTCCAGGGCTATACACATGAGCCAGACGGAAATTCCGTGCAGGTCAGTTCCTAGGAGGACAGGCTGCAGAGGGTCTGACCCCCGGGCTGCATGGGCAGCAGAGCACAGAAGCAGAGGGGACATGCGCGAGTGAGACCAGAAGGAGCAGCTACAGCTGCATGCTGGAGGCAGGGCCTCGAGCCAGGAGGATGTGCTGCGTCAGTCATCGCTGTGACTCAGCCTCAGAGATGATGATGGGAGATCTGCTGACAACAGGAGCCAGAAAGAGGCCGGTGAGCCTCCCGGCTCCCACGTGGGGAAGGACAAAATAGTAAGAGAACCCTGGACAAGGTAGGACAGGGGCCCAAGACGCACTGAATGATTTCAGTAATGGGTCCTCAGGAACAGTCACAAGCCTCCTCATCTGGAAACATAATCGCCATCACAATACATTGCGTGTAAGAGAAATACAGCCTTGTCTGACTGGGTAAGAGACAACTAAGACAAGCTTCACATTTGCCATTAAATGTATTGCACAGAGCAGAGAAAGAAGAGCTAATCTAAAAGTTCAGAGACCATGAACACTGCAGACTATAATCACCATGACTCACACAAAGTTCCTTTAAAAGAAATAGATGACTGGGATGTCTCTATGAGGTCATTTATTTTATAACAATCTTCTTGCTGTGGTTCCGTCAAGATGATTATCCTACAGTACTTTCTAGAAGCACATTCCTATTGGAGGAGGCCAAGCTGTCTCTCTTAGATAACTACGTAACCCCCACCATCTACCTTGTACCTGTTTCATTTTTTTTTAAAGCTTGACACATCCCTGCACTGCACTTGGTACATGAAGTGACATATGTAGCTAAACAAAGCAGAGGACCAACTGCTTTGTTTAGCTACATATGTCACTTCATATGTATAATCTGAACGGGTTTGAGGAAGAGAAACTGGCCCCAGCAGCTGGAAACACATGCTATGGTAGCACATCTTCCGAAAGTCATTTCCTAAATGCCCATGGGCACTGATTTCCTTTTCCCTCACACTCTGGAGATGAGAGGGAAGTCACACTGGCCTGTGCTGTAGATCTAACCTAGAGGCCACCTGGGGCTGAGCTGCCATGGTCTGGGAGAGGGAGGCGGAGACGGTGAGCATTAAGAACCGGATTGTGGAGAAGACACTGCCAGCAATAAGCACATTCTAGAAACAAGTCCCCACAGAGGCAAGCGAGCCCTTCAGGGAAGAATCAGAGACTCAATCCTTTGTTCTAAAAATGTGCAAGGGTGAGAAATTCCGGAAAGTTCTCAGAACTCATGGACTCAGGAAAATCCTAAGGATCCCCTGGAAAGCCAGTCTTTCAGAAGCCCCAAAGAGCCATGAAGACAGAAGAGAAGCAGTCCAGAGATGAAAGACGCTGATGTCACTCTGCCATACTAGAAGTTAGCAGCTGTGTGTCACTGCAGGTTGCCCAGGACCAAACCAGTAAGGGTTGGACCTGTATTAACACCATTTGCCCACCATCCAGAACTGAAATATCATTGCTGACATGTACACATAAGGAACTGTTTGACATTGAAATTGGGTCTCAAAAGAACTGTTGGCCCAGAAAGAAACTCACTACAGACTGATTCATTTGCCTTTCAGCATAACCATCATTGTTTGTCTCATTTTCTATTCTTATAAGTATATTTCCAGTAGGACATGATCTCACTCATCTAGGGGAAATGATGAACAACATAGACTGATGAACAAGAACAGACCCAGAGACAAGGAGCCATGGGTCAGACTGTTGGACCTCAAAGGGAGAGTGGGGATAAAAGGGAGAGATCAACCAAAGGACTTATGTGCCCACATATGAGCCTAACCAGTGGTCAAGGACAATAGGGGTGTGGGGGCATGAGTGGGGAGGGGGTGGGGGATTGGAATGGGGGTTGAGGACAAATATGTGATACCTTAATCAAAAAATAAATTTAAAAAAAAAAGAAGCCCCAAAGAGATTTGCAAATCAAGCAGCTTTTCAGGAAAATGTCCTCCTTTCTCAATGGCATAAACTTGTTGCTAATGTTCATCTGATAGTGTAGACGACCCCTTGGACGACCTTTATCATCAGCTAAACTCAAGGTGTAGAAAGAGCCACGCCCTAGCAACATGTTTCCCCAAAATGTGGGAGACAGTTATCAGCAATGATTTCTTATCGTTAGCCATGTGCTAGGAATGACGAACGAATAGGACCTGGGCACACCCAAAACTTCTTTGTCCTTAAACCCCCTCTGGAAATCAATAAATGCGCTGTGTTGTCTGTGGTGGGTGTTGACTGTCCCTCCATCAGAGTGACAGCCCCTCACCTGGGTCCCAGCTTGAATCTATTTCTGTGTCTTGGTCTCTATTTTTCCTTTAATTTCTTAATCCCCAGCTCCTCCACTCAGGAACCTGTCATTTTCCGTGCGGGTCTTGGAAAACAGAGAAACAGCCCCCAACAGATAGTATGTGTGAGTAATTCTCATCTTAATCAGGCTGATGGTATCTATTTCTATGTGAAATAGAAATGTAACATGACTGTTCATAATTGCAATAGTTATCCTAGCTGGTGTGGCTCAGTGGTTGAGCATTGACCTATGAATCAGGAGGTCACAGGTTGAGTCCCTGGCACATGCCTACTGAGGAAGGTCAATAAAGATAGGTTTTTCTCTTTCTCTCTCTCCCTTCTTCTCTGAACTCAATAAAAATATCTTTTTAAAAGTAATTGCTATGGTTAGAAGAATGAAATTAGTAACTTAATTCCAATGTCACAGTTCTCATCATCCCTCCTTAATGTTCAGTATTCTGCATTTTGGTGAGCAGTACTATTTCAATTTGTTCATTTAGCAATAATTACTTAACTTTGTGTCCTTCCATCTAATCCCAATGTGATTCTCAGTAGCCATTTTGTCCTGTTTTTAATAACAGAGGTTGCTTCTTAACATTCTGCTCAGTGCAATCCCGTTTCGGTAAGCCAAACATGAGCTCAGAGCAAGGTAATAGGGAAATGAGATATTTGGCACCGTCGGGGGAATCTGAAAGTAACCCCAAATGCTGAGCCCACTTTCTCATGAAATCACCGCCTTCCTCTCTTCAGCTAGAACTCTCATCAGGAGAGCCAGTACCATTCACCTTTCATGACCTTTTCATTGAAACATAGGATTTTTGAACTGGAACCTTTCAAGTCATGTAACAGCATCTTTCTCCCTACTCATCCATCTCACGCCTCCCAACCTGAGCTACACACACACACACACACACACACACACACACACACACTCTTTACAGACTCAGCTATTAACAAAGAACATTGGATAATTTCTGCAGTCACAGGATTAAATTGAGTAGGGGATGAGCAGCAAACACATATAACAACAAGCTGCAATCAACTTGAACAGTGAAGAGGATCGGAACTATCACACTCAAATCGGCCTCTTTGGCATAAAGATTGTTAATCTAAAGACATCTGAGAAGAAGCAGACTCCAGGAAAGTCCTCGGTCCTCCCTGTTTGCCTAAAAGCAGGATGGACATCTGTAAAAGCTCAGGAACGACCGAAGTTCATCACTGGAGACAACCCCGGCCCTGAGCAGCAGCGACCAGCAGAGTGAGCTGCTGAGAAACCTACTACCCTCAGCTCCTGTTAGTCCCTGCAGGGCACCGGCTCACCTTCCCCGGCTGCTGCCCCGCTCCCAACTCGCTGCCTCTGCCCTGTCCCTTCCTATGGATTGGCTGCTCTTTGGCGAAGATGGCATAGAAGCCCACGTTCCCAACACTTTGTAGCTGCTCACCGCCGAGTGTCCCTGCCTGCATGTGTGCGGCATGCACTGTGCATTCATCAATCCTTTGTCTTTCTCTTGCTCATCTGTCTTTTGTCTGACCAGCAGAGCCTAAGCCAGGGCACCTAGGAGGACAAGGCAAAGACGTTTTCCTCCCCTACAGTAGGGGAAGCCTGTCGGGAGGGGAAGAGTTGTCCAGGGCGGGACATGTGAGTGGCTGGGCAGCTCTCCGAGGGAAATAAGTGGGCTCCCGTCTTGTGCCTTCTATGCAAATAAATTATACCTAGATCACAAATGTAACTTCTTTGTAACGAAACTGTAAAAGTACTAAATGAGATCTAGGAGGACATTTTTTAAATCTTTGAGTGAAAAGAAAGCCGACACTAAAATTCCTGTTTTACAGCCAAGCATTAGGACTTGCACTGGTGAGGAGGTAATTTGGCACAGTCTCCACAGGGCAGATGGGTCAAATCCGAGCAAAATGGAAAATGCACAGCCCCTGGGACCCCGTAGCTCTGCCTCCTGCACACCCTCTAAGTGCACCCCTCTCAGTGCACCCGCATGCGCACCGCCACTGATTGCAGCGATTGTCCAGCTGACCAGACGAGGAGCCACCAGTGTCTATCCTATCACAGGCACTTCTAGAAATGACAGCACCTCCATCAGATGGACCACGACTCAGTGGTGTTGATGAGGCCCTCTGCCCTCTCTGCTCCCCTCCACACCAGCTCTGATTCCCACAGCTGCCCCTGCACACTCCCCAACGGCCTCCATGGCACCGAACAAATGGCAGTCTTGGTCCCGTCCCCGCTCCCGTCATGGCTTCCTGGCCCAGGCTCCCCTGCCGCCTCGGCCCTCCGGCCGCTCTCGGGCAGTGGCTCAGACTCTAACTGTGGAGAGTCCCAGCTCACCAGTTCATTCTCTCTCAGACAAGGAAATGTCCTCAGCCTCTGACAGCCTCTTCGTGGTCCTGTTGTCAGTGTAGATGTCCCGTCCCTCCCTCCGAGCTGCTGGGCAGAACTGCAGGTGGCCCAGAAGGAAGGGCCACCCCACAGCTGCTGACACTGCCTGGGGTGGGGTGGGGTGCCCAGGGAGAAGTGGGGACACAGGCAGGACACCGCCAGCCTGGGGCTGGCCCCCTGGCCAGGGCTGAGGTTGGCAGCGACTTCTCTCACAGGCATTCTCCTTGCTTCTTTGAGGACCCCGCCCTCTGGGAAGGTTTGGAGGCAGGTGCCTCACATCTGCTCTCTCCCAGGGCCCATCTGTGGGTTAGCCCAGCCCATTGCTGCTGACACAGCCCCAGTCTCCAGCAAAGAGCCCTGTCGGGGTCTGATAGCTCCTGGCCCACACAAGCCTGCCATGCCCCCAGCATCTGTGCCTGGCTGTGGGCAGGAGGCAATTTCTCCACAAACGCGCCCACTCTGCTTCAGACTTCACTGGTGTGAGTGCACTGGTCCCCGGGGCCCCAGGCTCTGGGTGCATGCCAAAGTGTGAGTGTTCTCCTGAGCACCCCACTCTGTCTGAGTGCCTCCCAGCCCTGGGGCACCCTGATAGTATTCACGGTGTGGAGCCAGGCCACATGGGGCCTTAGTCTGCAGTGACCTCCATCCCCTCCCCCTGGGAGGGAGGTGTCTGACCTCCAAACACCCACTTGTCTTTATCCCCCAGAAAGCCAGGACTTTACCGACAATGACCACACCCCATTGACAGCCCCACTTCATTGTCTGACAGTCCTCTCAGACTATTCTCAAACCAGCCTGGACTGTCCCCACCAAAAACATTTCTCCCCATCTTCCCATGGCAGAAGACAGGACCACGGGTCTCCCCTGCCCCACACCCAGGAGCCGTCCTCAACCCTCCCGCGCCATGCCCACCCCACACCCATCACAGCCCTGGGCGCCGGGAAGGAGACAAGACAGTCTGTTCCCCAGAAACTCGCAGGGCAGCGGCGGGCCGGGCAGCACGTGGATGTGTGAGGCAGCCGTGGGCAGAGCCTCGTTCTGCTTGTTGCTGGAGTGCATTCTGTGCTGCGGGAAGTCGGAGCAGGAAGCCGGTCCGTGCAGAGGCGCTGAAGGCCAGGGGAGGCAGAAGAAGATCTCATGAGAAAAGGCCAAGTGGAGCTGGGACCTGAGAGGCACTGACACGGCGGAGGAGGGCGGGGGTGCCAGGATCTGGAGAACTGGGCCAGATTGGCAGAGACCCAGAACACAGGCGGAGGAGTTGGGATGCAGGTTCGGTCCGGAAAGCATTCAGGGGTGTGCTGAGGAGGGCACCGCACCAGGGCTGGTAAGCAGAGCTGATGGGATGGCGTGGACATCACTGTAGCAGCTGTGCGCGGACTGCGAGGCTGAGACACCACAGGGAGGGAGAGGAGCCGGCTCAGGGATGAGGGACCACAGAAAGGCCAAATTGGAGACCTAAGGCCTACCGAGGGGCGTCAGAGCTGCTCACTCTCACCACAGGGGCAGCCTGCCTCCCTTCCCAGGGACACGGGAGAGCGGGTCCTTATCTCCATCATGAAGCACAGGACACTGATGGGCCCCGCAGGCAGAGGCAGAAGCTGCCCGTCAGGCCAGAGGGCACCTGGGACCCAGCGTGCCCGGAGGGACATTAGCCAGTGGCCTCTTGCCGGCGTCCTCGGCGGCCAGCAGGCATTCTCTCCACTATCTGAAGCTCCAGGTACAACCAACCATTTGGCAAAACAGATTTCAACGTTAACTTCAGGTACTAGAAATGCTTTAAACCTGCTTTCAGAAACATAATACACAAACATGGGTTGGAACCGCTCAAGTTTTCTAACCACAGCAGTGCCACAAGCGTAAACAGAGCCGTGAACTTTGACATCTGTGTCACCAAAGGAATCAGTGAGCAGCCAGGGCAGGTTCCAAGCAGTCACTTCATGGCCACCCAGCCACTGTCACACACAGCGTCAGTGTCACAGCCACCAACACACACAGCCTCAGGGTCACAGCCACCGTCACACACAGCCTCAGGGTCACAGCCACTGTCACACACAGGCTCAGTGTCACAGCCACCGTCACACACAGCCTTAGTGTCACCGCCACCATCACAGACGGCCTCAGTGTCAAAGCCACCATCACAAACAGCCTCAGTGTCACCACCACCGTCACACACAGGCTCAGTGTCACAGCCACCATCACAGACGGCCTCAGTGTCAAAGCCACCATCACACACTGACTCAGCGTCACAGTCTCGTCACACACAACCTCAGTATCACAGTCAGCATCACACGCGACCTCAGTGTCCCAATCACCATCATACATGGTGTCAGTGTCACAGCCACCGTCACACATGGCCTTAGTGTCACAGCCGCCATCACACCCAACCTCAGTGTCACAGCCACTGTCCCACAAGGCCTCAGTGTCACAGCCACCATCCCACGCGACTTCAGTGTCACAGCCACCATCAAACGGCCTCAGTGTTATAGACTCCGTCAAACGTGGACTCAGTGTCACCGTCACACGCTGCCTCATTGTCACAGCCACTGTCACACGGCCTCATTGTCACAGCCTCCATCACACACAGCCTCAGTGTCACAGCAACCGTCACACACATCCTCAGTGTCACAGACACTGTTACATACGTCCTCAGTGTCATTCACTGTCTCATGCGGCCTCAGTGTCACAGCCACCGTCACACACAGCCTCATTGTCACAGATACCGTCACACATGGACTCAATGTCACAGCCACCGACACACACTGCGTAAGCATCACACACGACATCAGTGTCACAGCCACCGTCACAAGCAGCCTCAGGGTGACAGCCACCGTCACACACAAGCTCAGTCTCACCATCACACACAGCCTCAGTATCAATAACTGTCACACACAGCCTCAGTGTCTCAGCCACAGTCACACACAGCCTCAGTGTCACAGCCACCATCACACGTGGCCTCAGTGTCAACATTACAATCGGCCTCAGTGTCCCAATCACCGTCACACATGGGGTCAGTGTCACAGCCACCGTCATATGCGGCCTCAGTGTCACAGCCAGCATAACACAAAGCCTGTGTCACAGCCACCGTAACACAAGTACTCAATGTAACAGCCCCCTTCACATACAGCCTCAGTTTCACACACAGCCTCAGTGTCACAGCCACCGTCACACACAGCCTCAGTGTCACAACCACTGTCACACACGGCCGAAGTGTCTCAGCCCCTATCACACACGGCCTCAGTGTAACCGTCCCACGTGGCATCAGTGTCACAGCCACCATCACTGCGGCCACAGTGTCACAGCCACCGTCACACGTGGACACAGTGTTACCGTCACACACGGCCTCATGCCAGTCACCATCACACAGGGCCACCCGTCACACACAGGCTCACTGTCACAGCCACCTTCACACACAGCCTTAGTGTCACAGCCACCGTCACACATGGCCTCAGTGTCACCGCCACCATCACCGCGGCCTCAGTGTCACAGCCATCGTCACACACAGCCTCAGTGTCACAGCCACCGTCACACATGGCCTCAGTGTCACAGACACCGTCACACGCGGCCTCAGTTTTAATCACTGTCAAACGAGGCCTCGGTGTCACAGCCACTGTCACACACAGCCTCAGTGTCTCAGCCATGGTCACACACAGCCTCAGGGTCACAGCCACCGTAACAGACGTCCTCAGTGTAACAGCCACCATCACACACATCCTCAGTGTCACAGCCACCGTCACACACAGCCTCAGTGTCACAGCCACCGTCACACAAGGCCTCAGTGTCACCGTTACACAAGTACTCAATGTCAGTCACCGTCACACAGGGCCTCAGTGTCACAGCCACCATCACACACAGCCTCAGTGTCACAGCCACAGTCACACCCGACCTCAGTGTTACGGTCACACACGGCCTCAGTGTCACAGCCTCCATCATACACAACCTCAGTGTCTCAGCCACTGTCACACGCGGCCTCAGTGTCACACACAGCCTCAGTGTCACAGCCATCGAAACACATGGCCTCGCTGTCACACACGACCTCAGTGTCACATCCACTGTCACATGAGGCCTCAGTGTCACAGCCTCCATCACACACAGCCTCAGTGTCACACACGGACTCAGTGTCACAGCCACCATCACACACGGACTGTTTCACAATCACCGTCACACACAGCCTCAGTGTCACAGCCACTGTCACACACGGCCTCAGTTTCACAATCACCATCACACATGGCTCCAGGGTCACAGCCACCATCAGACACAGCCTCAGTGTCACAGCCACCGTCACACACGGCCTCAGTGTCACAGCCACCGTCAGACACAGCCTCAGTGTCACAGCCACTGACACACGAGGCCTCAGTGTCACAGCCTCCATCACACACAGCCTCAGTGTCACACACGGACTCAGTGTCACAGCCACCATCACACACGGACTGTTTCACAATCACCGTCACACACAGCCTCAGTGTCACAGCCACTGTCACACGCGGCCTCAGTTTCACAATCACCATCACACATGGCTCCAGGGTCACAGCCACCATCAGACACAGCCTCAGTGTCACAGCCACCGTCACACACGGCCTCAGTGTCACAGCCACCGTCAGACACAGCCTCAGTGTCACAGCCACCGTCAGACACAGCCTCAGTGTCACACACGGACTCAGTATCACAGCCACCGTCACACACGGACTGTTTCACAATCACCGTCACACACAGCCTCAGTGTCACAGCCACCGTCACACACAGCCTCAGTGTCCCCGTCACAAGTGACCTCAGTTTCACAATCACCGTCATACACGGCCTCAGTGTTACAATCACCGTCACATACAGCCTCACTGTCATCGACACACATGGCCTCAATGTCACAGCCACCATCACACACAGCCTCAGTGTTACAGCCACCATCACACACGGCCTCAATGTCAATCACTGTCACACGTGGCCTCAGTTTCACACAGGTCATCAGTGTCAATCACTGTTTCATGCGGCCTCATTGTCACAGCTACCATCACACACAGCCTCAATGTGACACACAGCCTCAGTGTCACAGCCACTGTCACACATGGCCTCAGTGTCACACACAGCCTCAGTGTCACAGTCACCGTCACAGGCAGCCTCAGTGTCACAGTCACATCACACACAGCCTCAGTGTTACACACAGACTCAGTGTCACAGCCACCATCACAGGCAGCCTCAGGGTCTGCAAGGGGCCCCCCCACACACAGACACAGTGTCAGTGAATACTGGCTGATCATTATATAGTAATAATGTATAATAATGATCATATAAATTCACTAAAAGAAAAAACAGTAAGAAACGGAAAGAGATTCCCTATCCACGCTGAGTCCAGCCTGGTGTTTTGCAGGCACACCTGTGCTCTGGGGTCTCCGTGAGAAACTGAACGGAGATCCTCTTGACTCCACAGAGCTCCCAGCATTCATAGTGCTCGGCGTGGGAAACACAAGATCACCACCATGTGTTCATCCTTGGTATTCAAATCCACATGCACACATCTGCCCTCAGAACTGAAAAAGGGGCCTAACAGAGGCATATGAGCTGGATAGATTACATACAATTACATGCATATGGATGTGAGAGACTGTATGTGTGCACATATAAACGGTGGGAGAGAGTCGGAGGCAGGGGGAGAAAGAATGTGAGGTCTTGGAAGCTAATTCTGGCTCTAGACATGATACATATTCCCAGTGACCGTCATCTCATTCATTTATAGACATATGGTCCTAAGAAACATATGGTCTCTAGAAAATTATAGGAAAATAAGCAGATTCGTGTGTGAACATAAGCCGCTGAAAAACCCACTTTTGGATTTGTATTAACAGTTTTGTATTCTTATGTGCAAGAGACTGCTCAGAGGCTGCCAGGATGGCCGTGGCCCTCAGAGCCGTCGGGTTCCTGTCACGCACCGGCCACGCACCCTGACACAGGGTTCCAGGCATGCTCGTTGCCAGCACAGACCTCAGCGAGTCAGAGGGGAAGCCAGAGTTAAAGCTCATTGTCCTGTGTCCGGCCAAGGAGGACTGCAGGGAGGCGAGCATGGGGAAGGGCTGCCGGTGTGCCCAGCAGACGCTGAGGACCAAAAGCGCCCACGCTTGCCCTGACTTAGTGCAACGCTCTGGCCAAAACACGGAGCGCCCTGCGTGGAGCCCAGGCTCTGGGGAGCCTCGGGAGCTTCCCCTGCAGGCAGCTGCCAGGGCGCGGGGGTCACCAGGAGGCGCCCAGGAGCCCAGCAGTCAGAGGAGGGGCGGGAGAGCCCGGGTCCACTTGACTGATCCAGAGCTGTCCTCCAGGTCACACGTTATTGGCAGTGAGACGTGGCAGGTTATTAGGTGCTCTAACCCTGCAAGACGAGCAGCGTCGAAGACGGGACCCAAAGTGCACCCTCCTAGAAATAACTGCTCCGTGGACCCAGGGGTTGTTTGTTCAAAAATATGTTTACTACCAGGCAAAGAGCGGATGAGCTCTGGAATAAACAGAAGTCGCCCGACGAGGAGGGAGCAGAGCAGGCGGCGGGGCACAGGCTGGACATTCCGGCTCGGACAGCAGCCTGAGGCGGGCGGAGCAGAGGTGGCGGCGGAGGCCCAGGTCCTGCATCAAGTGCCTTCTGCGTGCACACCTGCGAGGCAAGAGAGAAAGGTGACTGAGCCTTCTCGGGGGCCGTGGGCGTGCTCACTGAGCCAGGACAGAGTGTCCGTCCCCCCCACAGTTACTGAGCTGCTCTGTCTGCAGCTGGCGGGAGGCCCTTCTCAGCCCTCACGCCTGACTCACCGCCCTGCCTATGGGTCTCTGTGGGGTGTGAAAGCAGAGTCGCTCCGACTGAGTTAGGGAGTGAGGGAAGCATCGGAAGTCACTGAGGGCCTTCCAAGAGCTGCTCGGGCGGGTGCTGGTGGAAAGGTCGCCTTGGAGCTAAGGGCAGCGCCAGAGGGCTGGGGAGGCCTCTGGGCTCTGGAAAACAGACTGCACTGTAAGAGCTCTGCCTCTCTCTCTCTCTCTCTCTCTCTCTCTCTCTCTCTCTCTCTCTCTCTCTCTCACACACACACACACACACACACACACACACAGCTGACCCCCACTGTGAGTCTTCTCCACCTGGACCCTCCTCTCCCAGCGCCAGCATCCCATCCCTGAGTTGTAGTCGCCATTCCTGCCCATTTGGGAAAAATAAACTAAGATCAAAGAAATTAAACTCAGAGAAGGTTCTGAACTCTTCCCAGAATCACACCACATCAGTGGAGTCAAATTAGAATTAGATACCACCCCTGCCTGCCTTCAGACTGCCCAGCCCCTCACCGAGTCCACCCCTGGCCCTGTAAACATCCCAATGTGAGCAAAGAAGTAGAAGCCAAATCATCTTTAAGAAAAACCACCCATCGCTGTTCGCACCCCATACCCACAAAGTGCAGCCCGCACCCCACAACCCCACACCCACGCTGTGCAGCCAGGCCCCATGGCAGGCTGCGGGTGTCTCCCACAGCTGAACCACCGGGCGACCACCGGACCCACACGTCCTTTCTCTTCCTCTGTTCTGAGAACAATTAAACCTACAGTAGTCCCTGTCAAGTGAATCATTTTCTCCATGCATTATTATGCTTAATGACAGAATTCCTGCCTGCGGCTATGAATAATTGAGCCAGGGCCCTTTCAGACCTAGATGACAATATGAATCACATGGGACTTCCCCCAGCACAACCTGTGCTCTGCAGTTATTAAAAAGCTCTGTGGGCAGCTAGCCACGTGCCAGGAAGCCCGCCTAGATGTAAACAAGCCACAGCTAGGAGACAAAAAGGAACATATTTAGGCACATGCATTCCGGAGGATCCGCCCAGCTCTGCCCGTGCACACAGGCTCCAGACAGAGGACCGCCCAGCTCTGTGCGTGCACACAGGCTCCAGACAGAGGACCGCCCAGCTCTGCCCGTGCACACAGGCTCCAGGCAGAGGACCGCCCAGCCTGCCCGTGCACACAGGCTCCAGACAGCGGACCGCCCGCTCTGTGCGTGCACACAGGCTCCAGACAGAGGACCGCCTCACGCTCTCCTGTGCACAACAGGCTCCAGACAGAGGACCGCCCAGCCTCGCATGCACACCGCTCCAGACAGAGGACGCCCAGCTATGCCCGTGCACACAGGCTCCGACAGAGGACCCGCCCAGCTCTGTGTGTGCACACAGGCCTCCAGCTGTGCACACAGGCTCCAGACAGAGGACCGCCCAGCTCTGTGCATGCACACAGGCTCCAGACAGAGGACCGCCCAGCTCTGCCCGTGCACACAGGCTCCAGACAGAGGACCGCCCAGCTCTGCCCGTGCACACAGGCTCCAGACAGAGGACCGCCCAGCTCTGCCCGTGCACACAGGCTCCAGACAGAGGACCGCCCAGCTCTGCCCGTGCACACAGGCTCCAGACAGAGGACCGCCCAGCTCTGCCCGTGCACACAGGCTCCAGACAGAGGACCGCTCAGCTCTGTGCATGCACACAGGCTCCAGACAGAGGACCGCCCAGCTCTGTGCGTGCACACAGGCTCCAGGCAGAGGACCGCCCAGCTCTGCCCGTGCACACAGGCTCCAGACAGAGGACCGCCCAGCTCTGCCCGTGCACACAGGCTCCAGGCAGAGGACCGCCCAGCTCTGCCCGTGCACACAGGCTCCAGACAGAGGACCGCCCAGCTCTCCTGTGCACACAGGTTCCAGAGGCTCCCCTGTGCCACGTGCACTAACGTTGATACAGATGAGTGTCACATTCAGATGAAGATGAGAATTTAGCCAAACATCATAATGCTGCCTGCTGGTAAGTGGGCAGGAGAGGATTCCCTTGCCCTCCGTTCCCGACACTGGAAGCTCTACCCCATCCACCCCAAGCAAGGTCTGTGCTCTGACTCATCTTGCCACGTGGGAAGACCTGTTTACTTCCTGGAAGATTAACAGGCTGCAGAGGAGTGGCCTACACACATAATAACATTAAATTAATGTATGAATCTGATTACTTTGTATTACATTGAAGAACAAATGGAGGACCCAAAACTTTGCATAAAGTGTGATGGCAAATATGTGAAAAATTAAGAGAAAACCTCCCCATCCGCCCCCCCCCCCCCCGCCACCTTTTGTGTGTGTGTGTGTGTGTGTGCTTGTTTTCTAGAATTTCTCTAGTGACCTTTACAGTGATGTGGAATTTTGCTTTCGGGCGTGTAGATCGGTGCAGAGCAGCGGTGCTGACCCAGGGGCGTGGGCAAAGTTGGAGACAGTTTTGGCCGTTACATGTCGCAGGGGACCTCTGGTGGGGAGAGGTTAGGGCCCTACTAAAGGCCCTAAAACGCACAGAGCAGCCCCACAACAACGCGAGACCCAGTCGAGAGTGTCAGGACGGCCAGGCTGAGAAACCCTGACCGAGACTATTCTGTCTCCCATCCAGGGACCCCCCGCAGTCCCCAGCCACCAGCAGTAGCAGTGTTCCCCAGGAGCAGCCTGTGATGCACCACTTACACCAGGAAGGGTGTCTAGAGAAAGTGAGCTCAGTTTGAAATTGCTGAAGTGCCCTACCCGCCCCCGCCCCCCCCAAGAGTGTGCATGCGCAGAACGGAGCGGGTCCTCTGGAATGCATGTGCCTAGATATGTTCCTTTTTATTTCACTCGGGGAGCACCAGCATATAGGCTGCAGTGACAACACCCCACCCCACCGCACTGGCACCTGGCTGTCCTGCAGATCCTGAGCGGTCCAGGAGCATGGGAGTCACCTGCCTGCCGCCTTCCTGGGGAGAATGGAGGTGGGACCAGGGGTCTGACAGCCACCTATGCAAGGCTGGTCCTGCTAGACTAGGGCCTGAGGAATGGTTGCTTGTTCAAACAGAAGAGGCAGAGAAGAGTGAGCAGGACCTCACAGGAGGGCCCAGGTGCGCCCTGCTCAGTGGCCCAGGTGAGGCTAGGGCTCACCAGAGGGGGCGCTGCAGGGACCCTGGGTCCTGAAGCGATGCCACAGAGAAAGGACCTCAGCAGCAGGCAACACGAGAAGACGATTCGTTCTGCTAACAGGCATCTTCAAACTACGGCCCGCGGGCCACATGCGGCCCGCAGAGGAGTCTGATCCGGCCCGCCAGGTTTTTTGGGCAGTGAGCGCAGCCGAGGTGTTACAGTAGGAATTAGTAGTTCATATAGTCCGGCCCTCCAGCTCTCTGAGAGACCGTGATCTGGCCCCCACTTTAAAAAGTTTGAGGACGCCTGTAAAGAACAGTAGCCACAAACCACACAGCCTGGAGGAGGAGGCAGGCCTGAGGCACTGCTCCGTGATGTGCCTCGCTCTTATCTGGTGTTTCAGGGAGTAAAGCACCTGGAGGCAAGTCACAGGGACTCCCAGAAAGGCTGACTGGGTTTACTTCCTGTGCTTACAGCTGTTTCAGAGGAGTTACAAGCTGCTGATCCTGAATTTATCTAACGCGTGTTTCTTTTCCCAGGCTGCATGTCGTAAACAAAAATGTGAAGAGAAAGGTCGTTACATTCAAACATGATCCTCACACAGAGGGTGACTTCCGTGCCGCCCAGCAGGTGCAGCTGCACCAGTTTCCTTAGAAAAGGCCCTCAGGTGGAAAAAAGGGCGGGTTATTTAATATCACTTCTCCTCGCGGAGTGTGTCTCCTCAATTATCACTTCCAGGCTGTCTGTCACTATTAGCAATTTGCTTTTTCTGATACTTTGTTTTTAGTCATTTCCTTGGATTCTTGAAAATTTAAGATTTCAACAAACATTGATTGAGCACCTACTGCGTGCCAGGCCACAGGCTCCATGCCGGCCTCATCCGAGGGCTGCCTGTCGCCCTCATGAGCCTGAGCTGCATCACGGGGAGAGCTCAAGGAAACGCAAACCCAAGTTTACCAGACAACGTGGCTCAGCACCTCCTGCAGCCAGACACTCTAGGCCTCATTGTCATTGCCACTGGCATCTCTCTGACGATCACTGACTTGGAGCATGTTTTCATGTCTCTTGGCCTTCTGTATGTCCACTTTGGAGATGTGTCTGTTTGGGTCCTCTGCCCATTTTTTAATTGGATTGTCTTCTTTTTGTTAAGTTGTATGAGTTCCTTATATTTTTTTGGATATTAACCCTTTATCACATGTATCATTGCCAAATATGTTCTCCCATACATGGGCTCCGTTTTTGTTTTTTGATGTTTTTTATTTGTTTGTTTTTTGCTGTGCAGAACCTTTTTTATTTTGTCCAGCTTGTTGGCATATAGTTGTTCGTAGTATTTTCTTACAATCTTTGTACTTGTATAAAGTTGTCTTGTTTGTTTATTTCTCCTTAGTTTCCTTTGCCCTAGATCAGTGGTTGGCAAACCACAGCTCATAAGCCACATACCGCTCTTTGGCCCCTTGAGTGTGGCTCTTCCACAAAATACCATGGCCTGGGCGAGTCTATTCTGAAGAAGTGGCATTAGAAGAAGTTTAAGTTTAAAAAATTTCTCTCTCAAAAAAAATTTCAATCATTGTACTGTTGATATTTGGCTCTGTTGACTAATGAGTTTGCCGATCACTGCCCTAGATGAATCTGTAAACATATTGCTACAAAACATGTCTGACATTCTAAGATTTTTATGGTTTCCCAACTTACATTTAAGTCTTATCAATTTTGAGTTTATTCTTGTGTATGGT